AATACACCCCTCCATTCAAACTTCAACACTACATATAAAACACACTCCTGCATTGAAACGTCAACACTACATACAAGCACACTCCTACATTCAAAAACAAACACTACACATAAATGCACACTTGCATTCAAACTCCAGTACCACATACAAACACATTCACACAAACATACTCCATACAAACACATGCTTACATTCAAACATACTAACATGGCTCAGTGCTAAATACAACCCTGCAAGCATGGGAAATTGGTAGAGTCCCAGCTGTCAAAGCATTGTTGGAGTTGCACGACAGATGGGGTTCTACCTTTAGTCCAACCTTGCAATTGGGGGTCCCAATAAAATTCATTCTACTTTAGTACCGCCACTGCGTTGGGATGGATGCCGTGATTGCATACCAGGGAGTGAGGGGCGAGAGCGGCAGGGCACAGGGGGCCCAAGCAAACACTTGCCCAGGGTCCATTCGTTATTAAAGACGGCCCTGCCTCTTCATACCCCTATATCTTTGATTACCTGGTTAACTAATTCGGACTGGCCTTGACTCTGCTTTTGGAATCCCCTTCAATACTGCTCGATCTCCTATTGAATGACCTCGGCTAGATAAAGGACATTGCTTATGGACTAACCCTGGACGCATCACCTAAACTTCTACTTTCAAGGACTGTCACTTTATCTCTCTGCTTTGCTGCCATCAGTTTGCCATGCTGAAACTGCCTCAAAATAAAAAGTGATTGGTTCTTATTTTTTTGTTTGGCATTTGTTAAAGAAAAAACATGACAGCGGCTTTTTTGTTGCAGTTTTAGCAGGTTTAATGCTTGTTTTGGCAGGAGCTCCTAAGAAGCACGTCTGGCCTGCTTGTGAGTTAGGCCCCGCACCGTGGGATATTTTTTTTTGTAAAGTTTAATGCTGTGGATTTTTTTCTCATATTATATTTCGTGTCACTATAAAAATAAAGCTTCTCATTAACTGGAGCTTAAAGTGCGAAATGCTCACCACTAATTTGCACCTTATGCCGTTGATTTATTATTTTATGTCACAACCATTAAGATGTCTCTTTTTAACATCATTGCAGAGTTCAAAGACTATAGAGCCCTTTATAACTTTAAAATTAACTATTTCAAAATGGTAGGCTAGAGCTGAACTGGTCCATCAGAGTTTCCCCATTCAGTGGTTGACTACTGACATTAAATATTTGATGGTGTGGATCTCAACCAACCCAGAGGCCTTCTACCACTTGAACTTATTCCTCCTCCACCATAACTCAGTGGTGACTTCCGCATATAAAAAAAATTATAATAAATCAATGACCATTCAAATCCTAAACGCTGAAAAGCATTTAATTCCCCTAATGTGGCCCAATACAACTTTTTTTAGGCTTTGGTTTTCTAGAATGAAGGACCTTAGGACAATGAAGGAGCCAAATTCAGACATATATGGCAATTAGGGCACAATGGATAACCACTACCGAAACAAGTGACATTTCTACTAGATAGATCTTAGTTCTTATTTCTGCCTCTTGGAGAGTCTACAGAAACACTCATTCACTAACAGACACACACACTAACAGACACACACACACACACTAACAGACACACACAGTAACAGACACACACACACTAACAGACAGACACACACACACTAACAGACACACACAGTAACATACAGACACACACAGTAACAGACATACACACACACACACACTAACAGACACACACACACAGTAACAGACACACACACACTAACAGACACACACACTAACAGACACACACACACTAACAGACACACACACACACCCACTAACAGACACACACAGTAACAGTCACACACACACACACTAACAGACACACACTAATAAAAACACTACGGCTACAGCGGACGGCTGGCGAGGGAGCTCTTCCCCTGAGCACTCTGCTCAGCTCCCTTGCGCGCCTCAGAGTGAGGCTGGGAGCCGGCCGTCCGCCCACCAGCGCCCCCCGACCGCCCAGCAGGTCAGTTAGCTGCAAGGCTAACTAGACATTTGCCCTGGGCATTTGGGGGGGTGGCGTTTTTTGCCTACTTACAACCAGATGAGGATGAAGATGGGCTCTAGCTGAAGTCTGGCTCCACCGGTCTGGTGTAGACCATGATCTCTGGAGGATGTTTGTAACTGTGGTCACAAAAATCAATGTTCTGGGAGAATGGGAAGCAGCTCCATTTTTTTGGGGCCCTTTACACAGCTCAAGGTCTGGGTACCAGGGTCCACCTTCATATTCCACCAATGAGTTTGTTCACAGGGGGTGGAGTGTGTAAGGAATGCATTGTGTGAATCTGTGTTTGTATGTGTAAGAGCTGCAAGGTGTGTTTCTGTGTATGTACGTGATGCAGTGTGTGCGTCTGTAAGGGGTGCATTGAGTCTGTGTAAGGGGTTCATTGAGTGTGCTTAAAGAATGCATTGTGTGTTTCTGTGTGTTTTGAGGGATGCATTGTGTGTAAGGGTTGCATTGCTTGTGTGTGTGTGTGTCTGTGTGTGTAATGCATTGTGTGTTTTTCTGTGTGCAAGGGGTGCATTGTCTTTGTGTGTAAGGGGTGAAATGTGTGTGTGTGTGATGGATGTCAATCACTCCCCCCTCCCTTGTCCCTCTCTTCTCCCCCCTCCCATGTCCCTCTCTTCTCCGCCCTCCCTTGTCACTCTCTTCTCTCCTCCCTTGTCACTCTCTTCTCCCCGTTGTCACTTCTTCTCCCCTCCTCCCACTCTCATTCCCCTGTCACTCTCACCCCCTGTCAATGCCTTTCTCCCCCTGTCAATTTCTTTTCTCCCCATCAATTTCTTCCCCCCGTGTCAATTTCTTTCTCCCCCCCCTCCCCTACCTCTGTTGTAGCGTGGCCGAGCCCTGTATGGTCTGCAAGCTTTTATTTCCTGTACCCGGCCGGACTAAAAGGAAGTGCACATTCAGTGTTAGTCCGGCCGGGTACAGGAGACAGATGCTCCCTGTACCCGCGGACCATACAGGGTTCGGCCACGCTACAACAGAGGGAGTGACAGGAGGGAGTGCTGAGCGCTCGGGCGGGTGTAGCATGAGGGGGGCCGGTGCTCCTGGTGGTACCCCTTCCCAAGGGACGCCCTAGGCGGCTGCCTAGTCTGCCTAACAGGTAGCGCCGGCCCTGATCAGACAGCATGGGACTATTGTTCTGCCACTACCTTTTCTGCAGTCATTTCAGATTATCACCTTCTAACACCAAAAGTTAAAATAGCTTCTAATCAAAAACCTTGAAAAAAACCCACAATATCTAAAACAATTAAAAGGTACACACTATAGATAGCACCGATAACGTCATCTAATGGTGCACAGACAGTTCAACTTCAGGAGGGATGAGAGAGAGTTTATAGGAATTTGTAGCATTTAATCTCTATAAGGTGAGCACCTCTTCACTTCAATAAGCAGTTCGACCTGGAGATAACTTTTACTTTCAAGATTTACTCAACGTACAGTACAGCTGGAAGTCAGTTTTCAAAGGGTTTTAGTAATCTCTCCAAACAAGATAAAGAACTTAGTATCGCAGTTTCTTTTTTTCTTTCATAGACTTCAAAGATCATCAGAGATGTCAGAGATAAGAGATTTTAGGATAAAACTCTTTTCATGTCTCATGGAAAAAAATATCCTCTTCTGCCTGGTGGGGTGTGGAAGAGTGAACATATATGGATCTCTGAATTGTTTATTAATTAAACCTTTATATATTAACAAAGGCAATATAAACCAATACACTGGGAAAAATTGTTGTGACAATGCACTAAACAGGTAAAGCAAGAGTCACGATTCTGCAGATTATTCTGTTATGGAACTAGTTTTTTATTTTATTTTTTTAATCTCAGCTGCAGAGTGATTAGCCAGTTGCCTTCTGTCATACATGCAAGGAAACTATAGAGCTATGGATGGGTGTGCGTGCATGCGGGGTCTCATAATTGTGGAATCTTCTTAAAATATGTATATTGCCACTCAGACACTACAGTGAGCGTAGGTAAAGCTGTATGTAGAGCAAGAGGAAGTGGCAATAGGTTTGCAGACAGGATAGCTTGGAAAAAATGGATGTACCTTAAATGTGGTTATTGTCAAAGAAAAAAACTGTCACCTTGTCTACAGACAATATTTGTTCGTAGTAGGTACTTATATATTTCAACTAATATATTATGGCTTAATGTTTTATTTAAAAAAAAAAAAGCATAGTTATAGGATATACATTTTTTAAACAACATAAGGCGTTATAAAGTATGGTTCAAATATTGATAAAATGGAGCAAAAATGTAGAAGATGATCATTGCTTTTTATGGTGTTCCAATCAGAGGCATTCGTTCAGGGCTGATGGAATTGTAGCCTGCTTAATTGCAAATTATGGAAAACCACCTGTTGGTGCTCTGTAAATAAATGGTCATAATAAAACATATAGCCTTTATTTTACAGACCATGGGCCATAGAAGATAGTTTTAGGTATCTGATTACTGTTTATTAAGCGATCAGTAATATTTTTTGCAATTTATGTACCTTGTTGGTATGTACAATTTTACATACAATGTAACTGATGTTCTGCACATTGAGAATAATATTGATAACTATGTTTACGTTATCTAGTGATCACAGATAGTTTTGGTGAAAAGCATTTTCAACGACCTCTACTTTCAATAGCGCACTCAGAAAATAAAACTACTTCGGCGCTAGCTGTGATTCAATCTGGAAATATATTTAGCAAATATTATGAGGTTTCAGGTTTTTAACCACTAGACAAGCTCATAAGCGGTTTCCAATGGTCTATATCTAGTGTTGTGCAAGGATACGTAGGAAGTGAGTTGACCAATACTATATCACTTTTTTTCTGATTTCTTTATTAAAAACATACATTTATGGATCACCTCTGAAAAATTATACTTTTTTATTTAAAGCAACAGATTTTTACATTTTTCTTCTGTTATAAAGCAGTGATAACCCCCAAGTCCCCCCAAACCCCTTCCCCAAAGAAAACAATGAATATGTCACCAATTATCCTACAACAGAATCTTGAACTATGGCAAATCAAAGCCTAGAATGCCTGTTAAATCATTTTACATCTTGTACTCAACGTGTTCAGTGCTAGAAAAAATGTTAATCACTCATAATTTGCTTACTCATAATTCACACTGGATTCACAAATACACTCTGGATCCTAAAACAAAAGTATGCCGTCCTATTCAATCCATCACACACACACACATATATATATATATATATATCATATAAAAAAAAAATAATAATAATATAAAAAAGATGGTTTTCAAGAACCAGTGCATTTACTGTTTTGAATAAAATTTGACTTTTATTTTCAGTTCAGACATCTACTGTAATTCTCTTTTGCTTACTTATCTGACATAATCAGAATACAAATAGTGCTTTTTTCATATATACATATATTTGGTAGTGAGAAAATAGAATAATATATAATCTTCTTGATAATAAGTTAAACTGAAACAAAATAACTTGTCTCTGGATAAATAATACACTTGTAAAAATGTTTACTATATAAAAAAAAATAAACAAAATAAACAAATCACTACATTAGTGCCAAATTATTTTTGTCTTGCTGTATAATACTCTTATTTGTGTAGCATACATTTAAATTATTTATAATAATAATTATGCTACACAATTTAAGACAGATTTTCTCTGGTAAGACTTGGTTCATTCCAAACATTTTATGGTACCATACATTCTGCTTTTATATCATTGGCTGCTATATAAACCAGTGGTTCCCAAACTTTTTAGGTTCAACATGCCTTTAATATTTCAGTATTTTTCCAAGGCAGTCCAAGTCAAAATTTCTAAGTTGTATATCTGTACAGCGCTGCGGCATTTACTGGCACTATAGAGTAATGTACAGTGTTGGTGTTTGAAGGGGTGCTTGTATATAGTTAGTGTGTTTTAATACAGGGGGGTGTTTTTATGTGATGTTTGATTGCAGGGGTGTGTCTGAATGTAATGTTCACTTTTAAATGCGGATGAATATTTGTGTGAAGTATTTGTGTTTGAGTGAAGGTGTGTGTTTGTATTTTTTTTTTTACTTTGAATACAGGGGTTTGTTTGTATGTAATATTTGTGTTCGATTGCAGGAGTGTGCTTGTATGTTGTGCTGGTGTTTGACTGCTTGGATGTATGCACATACACTACCTCATACATACATACTTACACAGATATTCATGCACAATAACACATAGCTGCATGTAAAAACACCGACATACACATATAGATACTCACATACACACACATAGACACACATGCACTCTGACATACACAAACATTGATACATGCCCACACCATGGCACAGATACACACTGACATAAAAACACAACCCCTGACACACATAGATGTGTCTGCAGACACGGAAGCACACTGACAAATATATATACACAGATGAAACACCCTGACACACACACATTGCTTTTTTTGAAAAATTATAAAAGATCAGATTGTAATGTTGTTATAGTCCACTCTTGGTTCTGTCGGAGATGAATATTGAAAAATGCAATCCATTTCTGTATTATAGCTAAAAATCCCAAACACAGACAGCAGCAACAGAGCTTTCGTGACTGTCAATTATTTTTGTATTGGCTGTTGAAGTTATTTGATTGCTCCACGTGTAATTGCTATGTTCACGTTGCTATAAACAGAACAGATTTATATATATATTTTATTATATTATTATTAGCCTTCATGTTCACTCTGTTGCATTGTGAATATTGTGTTCTCGTTTCTCACTGTATGTTTTTCTTCTCATTTATTTGTGTGACGCATCCTGATCATATTTCTTCCCAGTGAGAATATTAATTCTTCTGAAAGAACAATAAAAATTGTGGTAAATCATTTTGTATTTCTGATTAATAACACGTTAAAGCAGATAAAATCATATAATTTAAGTTATGTGGCACCCCTGAGTTGCAGAATTTTTTTTTTTCTGGCTAACTCTGCACCCCCCTAATACCTTTTAGTTAGGAAAATTACAAGTACTGTATTTTCTGGCGTATAAGATGACGTTTTAACCCTGGAAAATCTTCTCCAAAGTCGGGGGTCGTCTTATACGCCGGGTATAGGGTCTATATGGCTGCCGGGGGCGCCCTGCGCCCCCATCGCCGGCCCTTCTAATGCTGCAGCCGCCTGAGCGCTCTATAGAGAACGCTCAGACGGCTGCCGCACTGCCTCTCTTCTCACCTCCCCTTCCCTGTGCAGAGTGGGTGGCCGAGCTCCTCTTCGTCCTGTCAGTCCGGCCGGGTACCGCGCGGTACAGGAGATTCAGTTACCTGTTCCCGGCCGGACTGAAAGGAAGTGCACACTGACTGACAGGACGAAGAGGAGCTCGGCCACCCACTCTGCACAGGGAAGGGGAGGTGAGAAGAATGTAGGGAGGATTGGGGGTGGGGGGAGTAAAAAGAATAAAAATAATTATAGGGCATAAAGATTATATGCCCAAACAGCCTGGCACATACCTGGGCTTTAAATGCTTCAGATTATCATTATTTAATGTCTTGCTGTACATCATGGCTAATTTTTATTTGGTGTGCATTGGAAGAGGGGTAGTCTTATACGGCGAGTATATCCCAAACTCTATATTTTAACTGGAAAAGTTGGGGGTCGTCTTATATGCCCAGTCGTCTTATACGCTGGAAAATACGGTACATATTGACATTGATATACATACACATTCATTCATATTCACACACATTCACATCCAAATAAATGCATGCATTCGTATAAACTGACACACACTTTGATATATATATACACACTGTGACAGGACGGCCAGGCTCTTCACAATAAACTTCAAATGCAACAGTCAGGATAAAATAGTACTGCAGTTTATTGTCACTTTCTACAATATATACAAGGTTGTGCTCTCCCACAAAAATAAAACAAAAAAAAAATAAATCCTACTCCAACTTGGAGACTTTCTAAACAACAGTATTACTAACTATTCAACCGGCCAGCTAATCTGGTTCCCAGTTTTAAACAAAATGAAATACAGCACTTTAAGCAGGTTTCACACAGTACCTTTTTCTCAGAGTCTCAGGTTTAACTGCCTCCTCTCTCCCAGCTGTTAGATTCCCCCATGTCTTCAGAGGCTAACCTTTTAAAACCCTATTGCTGGTTAATTACATTCACCTGGTTGATGACATTCAAGGGGTGACTCCCACCAATTAACCCCATCATGCTGGGAATAGAGAGCGCTCCAATCTATTACTAACATAAAAAGCCTCTCTGACCCTGCCACATATCTTCCCCCTCCCCCCCCAGCTTAACACTGGTGTGTGAAGCGGCCTTAGCCGAAAAGTCATGCACTTTAGATAATGCATCCGCATTAGCATGCAGTAGACCAGCCCTGTGCTTTACAAAGAATTTAAATGGTTGCAAAGAGAGGAACCAACGGGTGACCTCAGCATTCTTGTCTTTATTGTTCTGCATCCACCGTAGTGGAGCATGGTCAGTGATAAGGGTGAAAGATCTGCCCAACAGATAATATTTCAATGTTTCTGTTGCCCATTCAATGGCTAGACACTCTTTTTCTACTGTCGCATAGTTTTGCTCTCTTGGGAGTAACTTGTGACTTAGAAATAGCACTGGGTGTTCTTCATCACCAATCATCTGAGACAGTACCACCCCCAGGCCTACATCGGAAGCATCGGTTTGCAAAAAGAAATGCTTCTTAAAATCTGGGGCTACCAAAACAGGGTACATGCATAAAGCTGTACGCAAATCTGTAAAAGACGTTTCTGCATTATCATTCCATTTCACTGTATCTGGCGCCTTTGCTTTAATCAAATCAGTGAGATGGGCAGCTCGGGTTGCAAAGTCGGGAATGAAGCGTCTATAATAGCCAACTAATCCTAAGGAAGCTTTAACCTGCTTCTTTCTTAGAGGACGTGGCCAATTTTCAATTGCCTCAACCCTAGTCATTTGTGGCTTTACCAGTCCCCTCCCTACAGTATAGCCAAGATATTTGGCTTCCATACAACCAGTGGAACATTTGGAGAGCTTTCCTTATGCTGTTTAATACTGCTTCTACCTTTTCCAAATGGGAGACCCAGTCTTGGCTATAGATGACTACATCATCTAAGTATGCTGAAGCATACCTGGAGTGAGGTCTTAGCAGTTAGTTAATTAACCTCTGAAAGGTTGCTGGGGCTCCATGAAGCCCAAATGGTAAGACCGTATTCTGGTACAGACCCTCAGGGGTCACAAACTCAGTCTTCTCTTTAGCTGATTTTGTCAGCGGGATCTGCCAATATCCTTTTGTTGGGTCTAGAACACTTAGAAACCTGACCTGTGCCAGTTTCTCAATAAGTTCGTCCACTCGGGGCATAGGATAGGTGTGGCGGAACCAACCTCGCCACTATGCACTGGAGGAGCCTGGTTGCCCACCTCTTGCCGCTGGACTATGGCCTTGCATTAAAAACCTTTTATTTTCCCTATGTGAGCAGTGTTACCCCAGATAGCTAAGCCATGGAGCCCATTCGTATACCGAAAGACTATGGGAAAGAGTTTGGCTCCATGGCGATTGAACTGTATGCATGTGATCTGAGCGCCATCCAGTAGTAATGGGCGCTGAGATCTAAGCTATCTGGGGATAGGTCGAATGTGTATGTTCTATGTGATTTACTGTCATTTTACTGCCATGTGGTTAATGGAGTTTTGCCTCTGTCCTTGGAGATAATTGGATTACTTCCCAATTATCTCCAGGAAAGAAGACTCTGTGGAACTGGTTTTGGGCAGAAGATCCGTCACAATAGGCATCAAATTTAGAGTGTTCATTAAGTTTTCCAAAATCATTACAAAAACGTACTGACCCATCTGGCTTAGGTACTAAAACTATGGGGCTAGACCACTGGCTATGTGACTCCTCAATAACTCCTAGTTCGAGCATTTTTGCTACTTCCATATGTATCGCCCCCCTTGTTGCCTCAGGAATTCTTTAGGGCTTTAATTTTACTGTAATTCCTGGTTCTGTGATAATGTCATGGCAGATTTCACTAGTTCTGCCAGGAATGCTAGAAAATACATCTTTATTTCTGGATATCATTTCTTTGGCTTCCATCTGCTGTTCAGGGGTGAGATCAGCGCATATACTAACGTCAACAATTGGGGATTAGTCTACAGCAATCATACAGCTTTCCCTATCCTTCCAGGCCTTTAATAAGTTTATATGGTAAACTTGTTAAACTTTCCTACAATTAGGCTGTCTAATTTTATAGTTTACTGGCCCTACTTGTTCAATAACCTTGTACAGGCCTTGCCAATGAGACAGGAGTTTTCTCTCAGCTGTGGGAACAAGTACCATCACTCGGTCCCCAGGTTGGAAGGACCTTACTACTGCCTGACCATTGTAGTTTACCTGTTGGCTCCTTTGAGCTTCTTCCAGGTATTGCCTGACTATTAGAGAAATTTGTGTAATGCACTCTTTGAGTTGATCTACATAGTGAATCACATTCTTTCCAGGTACTGTTTGTTCTTCCCATTCTTCCTTTGCTATATCTAATAGACCCCTTGGGTGTCTACCATAAAGGAGCTCCAAAGGGGAAAACCCTTCTGAAGATTGGGGAACCTCCCGAATAGCAAACAGCAATTATGGTAAGAGAGTGTCCCAACTTTTCCCATCTCGACCTACAGCCTTGCGCAACATGTGTTTTAGGGTTCTATTGAATTTTTCTACTAAGCCATTGGTTTGAGGATGGTACACAGATGTCCTCAAGGCTTTTATTTGCAATAATTGGCATAGCTCTTTCATTAGTCGGGACATAAAAGGGGTACCTTGGTCAGTTAAAATCTCTTTTGGTAACCCTACCCAAGAAAATACCTGGAGCAATTCTTTTGCTATGGTTTTGGAAGCAGTATTGTGAAGAGGAATAGCTTCTGGATAGCGTGTGGCATAATCCAATACAACCAAAATGTACTGATTACCCCTGCTGACTTTTCCAATGGTCCCACCAAATCCATAGCAATTCGCTCAAAAGGGGTTTCAATTATAGGCAATGGGATTAGGGGTGCTCTTAAGTGAGGTTTTGGGGTTGCTAGTTGGCAGTCTGGGCATGAGGCGCAGTACCTCTTCATATACCCCAGGCCAGAAATCTCCTTAGAATCCATTCCTGAGTTTTTTCAACCCCCAGGTGCCCCCACAATAAGTGAGAATAAGCCAGATCTAACACCTTCCTTCTGAAAGATCTGGGTACCAAAAGCTGTTCAATCTCTAGCCCCTCATCTTTTATCACTCTATAAAGCAAGTCATTTCTAAGAATGAAAAGGGGATACATCTCTCTGGATTTCCCATCAAGCATAGTACCATTAATTTCTATAACTTGATGAGAGGGTTTATAAAATACCCCTTCCTGTCTTACTGGATATTCTTGGCTGATATCAGCATATCTAATGGCTAGTGTAGGAACTCACCTATTGAGGCTTGCCTTGATGTGGCAGGGCGCAAGTGGGCTATAGGGGGCACAAGGGCTGTGGTGGGGGGCACAGAAGCTTTGGTAGGGGCACAGGGGCTGAGAGAGGGGGCACAAGGGCTGTGGTGGGGGCACAGGGGATGGGGGGAGGCCGGAACTGTGGTAGGAGCACAGGGGCTGAGAGAGGGGACAGGGGCTGAAAGAGGGCACATAGGCATTGGTGGGGGGCACAGGGGCAGGCATGAGCTGTTGAGGGAGGCAGGGGCTGTGGTTAGGGCATCGGTGCTGTAGAGGGGTGCACTGCTTTAAAAAAATGGATTTAACAAAAAACAAAAGTGCATTCCTTACGTTAGGCCAGGGAGGAGTGGAACAGGAGCTGGCGGTAGCATACAGCAGCCTGGTAAGTCGGCTGGCCTCTCCTGATGATGTCAGGAGGAGGGGGCGTGACTTCCACTGCTCTTCTCGCAGACTCCCCAGCGGTCCTGGGAGAAGAGCAGTGGCAGTCACTCCCTCTCCTCCTGACCTCATCAGGAGAGGACGGCTGACTCCACTGACTGCCGGCAGCAGGGAGAGAGAAGTAATATGAAAAATATTGAGTCGCCAGCCATAGGCAGGGCCGGAGCCAGAGCCAGAGACAGGGGGTTTGGATTTTTGCTCCCCCTGCTCTTGCGCCCTAAGGCGGCCGCCTGTGCTGCCTAATGGACGCTCTGGCACTGCACACACACAGATTTACATTCACTCATACAAATGTATTGTTGAAATACCTACTTTACAAATATATTTGTGTGTGTGTGTATTTGGGCTCTCTATTATCATGACTATGTTCTGAGGCACATCTAAGGCATTTAATGCATATCAATTCACAAATCACAAGATTCCTGAATCAGATCATCTCAGTTGTTTTATGGGAGGGATGAATAATCTCAAAATCGTGGAAAAAAGATAATCTACATTTAAAAAAAAATTCTAATGATTTTCATAAAGAAAAAGGAGCAATTTTAAAAGGACACTCCAGACCTCTAAAGCACTTTAGCTTGCTGAAAACCTTTATGTGTGAAGAGTGGACCCTCTCTTTTTTTCATTTTGGAAATAGTGCATATTTCAATAGAAATTGATGCTCTCACAAATTATATTGGTTACACCCCCCTGGCTTTTCAAGCAGACAACAGGTCCTCTTAGTTCTTGGTTTGGTTGGCTTATTTGCACTGAATGTAAGAGGCAGCAGTTGCCCAGAGCACCTGCCTTGCAAAGACTTCTCATTGAGCTGCATTGGGAAGCCTGTGATTTTAGTCACATAAAATTTGGGGGGCGGGGGGAGTGCTTGCAAAGGCAGCAGACAGGGGATCTGCAGTTTTTCAAGCTGTTTTTAGATATAGGTCCATTGAAAAAATCCATAACTAAAAGGCATCCAAGATTTCATTTAGGGCAGTGATGGCGAACCTTTTTGAGCCCGAGTGCCCAAACCGTAATACATGCCAATTTTTTTTCCCTCAAAGTGCCAAAACGGCATTTAAACCTGAATACTGAGGTTTAAGTTTTGAAAAAACAACTCATACAGTTGTCCGAACTAATTAACATCTCTGTGTGTGTATTTAGCAGTCTGTCTGTCTGTGTACTTAGCAGTCTGTCTGTGTACTTAGCAGACTGCTGAATACACACACAGACTGCTGAGTACACAGTCTGCTGAATACACACACAGACTGCTAAATACACACGCACACACACACACAGACAGACTGCTGAGTGTACACACACAGACAGACTGCTGAGTGTACACACACACACAGACTGCTGAGTGTACACACACAGACAGATTGCTGAGTGTACACACACAGACAGATTGCTGAGTGTACACACACAGACAGATTGCTGAGTGTACACACACAGACAGATTGCTGAGTGTACACACACAGACAGACTGCTGAGTGTACACACACTGCATTGAGGGGTACATTGTATGTGTTTGTGTGTGTGTGTGTGGGGTGATGTGATGTGTGGGTAGGGTGATGTGTGGGTGTCTTTGTGTGGGGTGATATGTGTAGGGCAGGGGTGCTGTGTGTATGTCGTCCCCCCTCTCCCCCCGTCCCACACTCAGTTTTCTCCCCCTATACCTCCCTCAGTTCCCCCCCATAACTCTCCCTCAGTTTCCCCCCCATCTCTCCCTCAGTCCCCCCCATCTCTCCCACTCAGTTCCCCCTCCATATCTCTCCCCTCAGTTCCCCCCCCATATCTCTCCCACAGTTCCCCCCCATCTCTCTCCCACTCAGTTTAGCCCCCCATCTCTCTCCCACTCAGTTTAGCCCCCCATCTCTCCCTCAGTTTAGCCCCCATCTCTCTCTCTCTCCTCCCACTCAGTCCCTTCCATAGCTCTCCCTCAGTTCCCCCATCTTTCTACTACTCAGGTCCCCCTCCCATGGCTCTCCCTCAGTTCCCTCCCCATCCCTCAGTTCCCCAGCTCAGCCCGCTCACTCAGTTCCCCCCATAGCTCTCCCTCAGTTCCCCCATATGCTCTCCCCTCAGTTTCCCCATCTCCCCCCCTCCCATAGCTCTCCCTCAGTTCAGTCCCCCCATCTCTCTCCCACTCAGGTCCCCCCTCCTTCCTCCTTGAGCTCCTACCTTGTAGCGTGGCCGAGCGCACCGCGGTACAGGAACTTATGTTTCCTGTACCCGGCGGACAGGAAGTGCTCTCTCTGTGAGCACTTCATTTCCGTCCGCCCGGGTACAGGAAACATAAGTTCCTGTACCGCGGTGCGCTCGGCCACGCTACACAGAGTGCCTGGCAGGAGGGAACGCTCTGCGCTCACCTCCTGCCGGTCACTCCGGCTTTGCGCCCGCCGGGCCGGTGCACCCTAAGGCGGCCACTTGTGCCGCCTTATGGATGCGCCGGCGGAGCACACTCTCCCTCCCTCCGGCGACCTATGGCCGCGTGCCCACAGAGTGGGCTCGACGTGCCACCTGTGGCACGCGTGCCATAGGTTCGCCATCACTGATTTAGGGTATATCTACTAAACAATGATTTTGATTAATTTTGTGTGTAGGCAGTGGAGTGTCCCTTTACCTCCTTAAGGACCAAACTTCTGGAATAAAAGGGAATCATGACATGTCACACATGTCATGTGTCCTTACGGGGTTAAATTGGGGTGCTTAACTAGAGGCCTTAAGGGTTAATTACAATCCCAGATGTCTGGATCACCCAGCTTACTAACACAATTAATTTACAAGTGGTTAAGCAGAAATAGCTGAAAATTCTGACCCGTGTGCAGTTCTCTTTTCTGCAGCCTTTGCAAGTCCTCCTCTTCTACCCATTAGAAGAGAAGGGCTTGCAAAGGCTGCAGACAAGAGATCTGCAGGTTTTGCAAGCTGTTTTTAGATATAACTCCAATGAAATTCATGCAAGTTTTCATTTGGGGTAAATCTACTTAACAGTGATTTGTATTTGGGCAGTGGAGTGTCCCTTTAAGTTTGTCCAAGCAGCAAGTTTGTCCAAGCAGCAAGGGAAATGCAGTTTGTAAATATTTGGGCTGCTAAGATTAGAAATCACATATTTAAATACATTTCAACAGTTAACTGAAATACATTCAATTAATGTCCGATCAGTTCAGATCCTTTTTTCATTTGCAGTTAGTGGGGCATTTGTCTATGAATTTGATTGTTTCATCTTAACCAAATCAAGTAGATGATTTAATAGGAAATTTTACTGCCAATTTGAAAAGAAAATGACAAAAAGAAAGAACACAGGCAAACGATGTTAACTTTGAATTTAAACTGTAGAATCTGATTTTGCTTTTCATTTTTCAAATCAGATCTCTTTCAGGAGAATTATTTAACAGGTTTTGTTTCTCTTGGAATTGGTGAGAAAATTAACTTGTAGAAAGGGGTCATTAAATGACTTTTCCCTCCAATTGTTGTACTATATTTCTCAATATGATTCGTCATACTTTGTCTCTGCAATGTCCCAAAGACCATTGTGAAATACACACAAAATCCCAGCTAACCCGGTTGAACACTAAGCATTTGCATGTTATATTTCACACATATTAGTTCTTCCAAAAAATAAAATAAAAATATTTTAAATGGTCCTAAAAACATGGCTGCCAGCCACTCTATCCTATGTGCCCACCAGTGGCTATATGTGGAACCTCAAGTAAAAATATTCCTGCTTTTTAAGACTGGCACCTGGTAAGATTTAACCAATGCCAGACTAAACCAAAATGATAGTGGTAGGGTTGACACAATAAAGGCATGAAATCATTACTTACTATTATCAAAATGGACAAATGTTTAAAAAGGTATTTGTTTTATCCCAATACTCTTTGCCATCAAGCTTGGATAAATTCACATTGGTAATGCGGCAGATTAATTTCTCCATTATTAGTGTGTCTGCAGAGGAGGTGGCAAAAATGTCACGTTGTGGTCTGACATAAAAACTAGGTGGCATAGATGTAGTGGTTAAGGTGCTTAGAGTGGCCCTTTAAGAAGATTGCAAAGCCTTTCTAAATAACAAATGTTACCACTGTGCCCCATGAGACTTTAGACAGAAAGTAACAAAATACATCAATAAGAAGTATGAGTTAGCCAACATATTATTGGATCACAGCCGCCACTCAGTAAATTAAACCCGTGAAGCCAAAAAGAATTTATATTTAATTTGAATGCGTTGAGCCTGACCTAGCAGAAACCTGAAATGAACTCTCTAAGATTAAAAATAATTACATTAATTTTACACATTAGAGTTATACTTTCTTAGTTTAGACTATTCGGGCTTCCCATGTAGTAAACACGTTTAAATACATGCTATAAAACTTACCTATAATCCCATGACACAATGCTTGCCATAGTTGCTCCTCCTTGGATGAAGTTATTGTCAGTTCTGATAAATTTTGTTCGAACCAAAAAGTTCTATTTTAATAGGAAATCAGTACGGTGCTACAAAGCATGTGCATCAGTCAGTGTGGGTCGCCAATCCAATGATTTTCTATAACAAATATGGATGATGATGCTGACCATAAAGATGCTTAAAAAGTGAAGATTTTAAAGAGGAAATGTCTCTTGTGGCTGTCTGGCTCGGAAATGACAATGTCTTACATTGCTAGACTAAAGGGACAGCATATATGTATGAAAAAACTGCATTAAGATGGTGTTGGTGCTTAGTGTGGGCCACACTTAAAATGTCCTTCTATAATATGACAACAAGTATGGGATATTATTGGTTAAAAGGTCAAAAAATTCCTTATACAGAAAATTTGAATTGTGTGTGCACACTCTCTGCACCAGCCAATAGTGATATGAATGGGAAACATATTCGGTTCGGCATTCCGAACTTCGGAACTTCGGCACTAAATTCTAAATGTTGAATTACGAAGTTACGTCTAGCACAGTTTATTTCCTGTTAAAAAATACACTTCCTTGCAATTGCTTATCCCTTTCTACAGAGCAGAAACCAGGTTGCGGTGGGCAGTGCTTGTCCTGACCATCTATTACTGAACTTCAAAAACCACTCATATCTTTGATAGTCTATGGCTAGGAAATATGGGAGTAGCAGTCCATCAATCAATGCAGTTCCACACCATGATATAGAAGGTGTTGGAGTCATCAGTTGACTCATAACTCTCTGATGGGTTGCTTTCAATCAACCAATCAGAGTGTTATGAGTCAAATTACACAGCGTGGGAAAATTAATTGGGAAAGTGTTGCAAATGCTTACAGCTGAATCCTGGCTATGTTTGTATACTTGTTATTTAAACTGGTATACAGTGTAACAGTCTTCATTCTTCCACTGGGCATATTAGTACTTCGGCAATTCTGTGCTTCGGAACTTCGGCACTTTGTCACTTCGGAAATTCAGCTATTCGTACATTCGGAAGTATCCGAATGTCCGAATTGCCCGAAATTCGTCGGAATTAATATTCGGAATGAAACGAATTGCACGTCTACCGGCCAATTCACTCCTGATAGGGAGCAAGCTCTGCACACAGTTGACATGAGGCAGCCAGCAACAGAGTTCTGCCTACAATAGTAGAGGATGGTGCCCACACATTCAACCAGGATGCTCCAGAAAGGTAGGGCCAAGTTCCCATGAATATCCAGTGATAGTAGATACAGATATCCGGGCACACCTGATGGTTTCTTCTAAGATTTAGTTTTTAGTTGGAACAGAGAAATGGAGACAATGTTTGGGCTCCTACATGAGTTCTGGGCTGGCTACATTACGTTTGCTGGGAATGTAACTAGTCCCCAGCACGCAATTAAAAATATAGCTAGATAGGCAGTGTTTCAAGTTGAAACACTCCATATCCAGACTCCAACACCATGACCACTTCAAAAAGAAGTGGTCATAGTGGTTGGCGTTACCCTTTGATATAGGTTGTCTTTCTATGAGTGTGCTTTACCAAAACAGTCACATTACATCTAAAACATCACAAACATTTTATATCTAATAAAAATCTGTACTCACGTGTCAGGAAATGCTCGGTTTTGCTGGGTTTCTACCTGTTCCCGGTTAATTGAGGGCACAGACCCTGGGAAATAGAATGAGAATCTGCATTAAACAATGATCCGGACTGTGGCTGACACTCAACGCTTCCCGTGCTACAAAGCCCTTGATTTAATATTTTTGGATAAGTTTGTCAAACAATCACATTATTTTAGAATTTTTTTTTAAATGATTTATCAACAGAAGTAATTTGTGACGGAGCTCCTGTACTTTGACTGAGTACCGCTTCCTAGCCGTTGGAGAGAGAGCCTGGAGCACTTCAACCCCAGTCACCAAGGCTTCAGCCCTTCTTCCAGGCAGGTATCGTCCCCTCTATCTATTCTGCTACAATGTGATTGCTATTGCCTTTACATTGTCAGCCAGTCTACACAAGTTTTGTTCCCCTACATCCATCTTGAGTTTCAATACTTAATTCCTTCTGTACAAAGCAAGATTATGTGAAGAGTAATAAAAAAAATATATATATTATGTTAAACTGGCTTTAAGGACCAGGAAAACATACTCGTTTTCCTGGCACTATAGAGCCCTGAGGGTCCCACTCCCGCTGGGAGTTAAACTTACCTCTTTCTCCAGCGCCGGTCGGGGAGCTCTCCTCCTCCTCTCCTCCCTCTTCCTCTGTCACCGGCTGAATGCGCATGCGCAGCAAGAGACGCGCGCGCATTCAGCCAGTCCATAGGAAAGCATTCTCAATGCTTTCCTATGGACGCTGGCGTCTTCTCACTGTGATTTTCACAGTGAGAAGCGCGGAAGCGCCTCTAGCGGCTGTCAATGAGACAACCACTAGAGGCTGGATTAACCCATAGGTAAACATAGCAGTTTCTCTGAAACTGCTATGTTTATAAAAAAAAGGGTTAAACCTAGCTGGACCAGGCACCCAGACCACTTCATTAAGCTGAAGTGGTCTGGGTGCCTATAGTGGTCCTTTAAACTGATCCTGGGGAGTAAGTTAAGAACGATTATCCAATGGCCCTACAACATTTCTTAAACAGTTTACTACTTACTGTGGTTTGGTTTTTGAGGCTTCTGGCACCAAAACCTCTACAACACGCTGTAGGGGTTTTCTGCTTACAGTCTTTTGTTAAAATGACATTAAATCCCCAAAACAACTTCAGCTTAATTGAGTAGTTTTTGTGTATACGTGATGCCCCTGCAGTGTCAATGCTCAGATCTCGGCCATTTAAATGTTAAAACACATTGGTTTCTGTTAATACAGCCCTAGTCACATCCCCCCTGGCTATGACTTACACCGCCAACATGAAAAAATGGTTTCATTTTCAATCAGATCTAACAGCACAGTATGTTTACTTTAGACGTTTTATCTCCCACTTTGTTAATTGAAATTTAATCACACGTGGAACTGTTGCAGTTTTTAGCAGGCTATTAACAGACCATGAGATATGACATTCTAAATTAAACACACTTGTAATAAGGGAAGCTAAAAAATTTAGACTAATTTTCAGGGAGTGTTTAGGGAGGTTGTTTGTGTCTCAGTCAGGAGTGGTGTGGTTAGGGTTGCATAAGCAAATGGATTTAACTCCTAACTGGCAGAGAATTGATCTATACACTTAAACTGCATCATTAAACTTAAGTTTAATTGGTGCCTTTAGTGTCCCTTTAACTAGACACAGTAATAATTCCTGGCAAAATCTCTTTGCCTTGGACGCATTGGTCTCAATTTAATTTAATTGAAACATAAGCCAAAGTCCTTGGAGTGCTCTCAAGGTATCTATCTATGCACACATTTTTTTTTTCAAAACTAAACTACAGTATGCATTAATTACACTTTGATTTAAGGATTAAAAAATAAATTTTAATCACTTAATTAGAAACTATTGTATTTCTGCTAAACTCATACGCATGAATATTCAAATAACATGAACAGTAACACAGCAAAAGTGTACATGATGATTTACTATCAGAGCGATGACTGAGATACACAAAGACATAAACAGACAGACGCTCTTTGCCTCTGTCTGTTTATGTCTTTGTTTGTCTGTATAAGTATGTGTGTTTGTATAATTCTGGTGTTTTGTGGGAACACACAGGGTCACATATGTTGGTCACAAGGAGGTTTCAATATCTCAACAATATGAACTGATTTATTGTAAGATTGGCATACAGGATCATTGACTTTAGAGTTCATATTTATTCATTTATCATATATTCGGTTATTTGTTTAGTGTTCATGATTTTAAAATTACAAATAAATGAACTAAAAACATAATTGCTGGGTTGCTGCTACTGCTGAATTCCATGACATTGTCTTTTTTTAAACTACCAGAAACGTTCAATATTAATTCCTCATTCTCTTAGATGTCTCTGTGACGTTTGACATTATCGATCTCCTTCTGTATTTAGTACTGAGTCATCTTTTATTTTATGCTATAGTGTTAGATTGTTTTCTTTTTTAAAACCTTTAATGTCGGATTAACCCAATGTCTCCAGCACAACCACAATGCCTGTTACTTTCATTCCCCTAACTCGTAGCTCATCTACTTTGCATTTGATGTTCAAAGGATGAGGGACATCTCTATATAAATAACTTTTATGTGATATAAACTGAAACAAGTTCAAATAACAGAAAAGAAAACTACAAAAGGACAGGAAACAAGCCTATCCTAAGAGTTGGAGTGGGGGGGGGGAGACGGGGGCGGGGATGGAGGTAACAGAGGTAAGTAGGGCTTAACCCTTAAATTAAATATTAAAGACAAATGAGGATGGTTAACTCCTAAATATAGAAAGAAAACCAACCCACAAGAAATACCTCAATGTAAAATTAAATATAGGGTAATAAATGTAAAAAATGTGTGTATCAATTACATGTGATGTGAAAAACACAAATGATAATGAAGTGACTAAAAAGTCTAAATCACAAGTAATCAATAGGCTTCACAAACTACAAATGTGACATAATTTATGTAGTAAATTATGGGTAGAATTTAGTAGATACAAGATTTAGATATCTCTTAGATCTGTATCGCTAAACTGTCACTATAAACTCTAAAAGGATACAAGTAAAACAGATGGCTATAACACTGACTTAACCCCTCGTGTAGCTTCTAATGAATGCACTATTTGGGGCGCATGCTAAGAAACTGCTCACTTAAGTATCTTTTGGATATAAGATAGAGTAAATCTCAGATGCCTGTAACATACAATAAACCTCTAAATGATATGATCAGCAATATCAGGAGATGACCATCGAATAAGAGTCTAGGAATAAATGGGAACAATTTATTTTTACTTAAAAATTTGTAAATACATTGACCCTAAATAGGCATATATAGAGAAAATGTCAAATGTCTAAGACAAAGGGTTATCCTCTAGACTCTAAAACAGGGTTGTCAAACATGCGGCCCCCCAGATGTTGCTGAACTACAACTCCCATGATTCTTTCAATGAAACAGATAGCCAGGGAATCATGGGAGTTGTAGTTCAGCAACATCTGGGGGGCCGCATGTTTGACACCCCTGCTCTAGAGCGTCAGTGCAGAGATATCATATAGTGACCCCTGGACTTAGGATCTGAGTATGAATATAGGCGGGTGCGGTATAATTAAAGCGAAGGCTAGCGGATACATATTTACCCCTCCCTTCTTTGTTGCTCCCACCCCATTGACCGATATATATAAATATGTGGGTTATTATAGAAATGCAGCCAGCGTCTTCATGCATTCTACTACCTGTTGATGATCCGCTTTACAACATATAACTGTTGATGATCCACTTTACAACTTAGTCTGTAATATCGGCGGGTACATGTGCATCAAGACTGAATATGAATCCGTTCTCCCATTATGGTTACCATAGGAACAAGTTGTTTATACCTTAAAACCTATACGGTGACTGTTCAACCGCAATGAGACATCTATGCCTCCTCCCCCTTCGGGAGTTATCTCCACCCTTACCAATAGGATAATCCCCATGATTTGTTTATCCTCGTGGGAGGCGGGACCTTCACCTTCAAATGGCTGTCCTTTTGTGGATTTTTTTTCAGATCTTGAGAAAAACGGAATTTCTGCCGAAACGCGCGTCGGGCTGCCAATGCATATACTTTGTTTTTAAACTCACTTTTTGTTTTTTTTTATAATGATTGTCACAGTTTAGTGACTTAACAGACCTGATAGACTTAGGATTTTTTAGTCTAGGGGAGCTGCCTCGAAGCAGCAGGGGGGTGGACAGAACAAATAGCATCACCAAGCATTGGGATGGCTAGGGGACCCTACAGAGGTCGGGGGGAGCAGAAGATAAAGAAGTGACAGAGCCACTGTAAACTGTTTTTGGAATGGTCATCTTTATACAATCAACCAATCAGAATCCTACTTTTTTATTTCATGGTCAGAGACCAGAAAAAGCACTGGTGAGAATATACTAATTGCACACACCTGTCTGATATACAATTAACTCATTTCAATGTTTGTTACAATCCTTTAGCTACTAGTTGGTAACTACTAAAATGGAAGTAGTTATCATTATCTGTTATCGATAGTTTCCACGCTAAATATGAACAGCTGTGAAAATGTACAACTTCCACTGAAACACAATATGTGGTGCTAAACACTAAGTAGCACTTGGTTGTCATGTTATACTAGACACATTTATCCCCAGTGCTATATGACTAAACAGGACACCATAATCTGGATGATTAAACTTTCCAAGATGATGAGAGAACTTTTTATAGTGTCCCTACAGTGGCAATAAATTGGAAAATTTACCTCTTTCTTGATACACGTAAATGCTAAGTGGCGGCTGGTATCACTAGAGATATAGTATTCACACTACTAAAAATCTGCTTTTCATAGAAAAGCATTGAAACAAACCCAAATGTGTGACAATTCAGGACTTTTAAACAGGCCATTTCATTATTGATGTAACATATACATTTAAAATAATTGTTGCACATATTAACACTGATCATATTTTAGGGTAACAATTAGAGCAATTATCTACAATAATATAAAAATAATAATGAAAAAATGTATAAATAATCTACACCGAGAACCAGGAAGTGTGAGGTGTGTTGTTCTTGGACACGTGGAGGTGAGAAGTTTGGTCCTTAAGGGGTTAATTGATTTCCATTAGCAGAATATCATGACTATGGATTAGTTCTGCAGTGTTTCCTTAACGGAATTTTCTTCATTCAAGAATACCTATGTATCACCACCCCTAGGATGAAGACAATGGGGAAATCAAGGATTTACTAAGCTCTGTCATACAACATTTAGCAAACCGAGGCTTGGCAGCAACGGTAACACCATAATATCACATTTAAATACACAATGGAGTGTTGCAAGTTGGGATACATTTCAGTAACAGTCGGAAACATGCCTTTCCTCAATGTAACAATGTAACCTGCTGTACACGGTGCTTTAAAAGTAAAATAGATTTCGAGGCGGAGTCAAGCTACGGACAAGGATAGTCGCATGGCCGAGGAGCTCCCAACTAAAATTATACAAACCTGCTGATATTGAAGCCCAACACGGCCCAACGGACCCCAAGGTGCCCTTAACACACCCGACAACAATGGGCAGAAAAACGAAGAAGCCAAAGCCCGACAAGCCCTGTCAGGGTATGAACATCGGGGACATGTGGAGACAGGCCCATGAGGCCGCGAGCGCAACAATGGAGTCCCTGCATGGAGGATGTACAGACTTCTCGGATGAGACATCCGATGAGGGAGAAGGGAGCCTCATACCAACAGGCTTACCACCACTGCCTGAGAAACCTCGACCACCCGCCTCAACCCACACGCCGGTCACCATGGAGGCTATCACGGCACTCATGGCCTCCCACCATGAAAAAATTTCAACGGAGGTGGCAACAATCCGGAAAGACCTGCAAGGCCTGTGCACCCGGCTGGGAACGGTGGAAAACACCTCCAGAGACCACACAAGCCAGATTGCGGAACTGCAAGCAGCGGTAAGCGACCTGAAAAAACAAGCGACACTCCATACACAACAATTGGCCACCCAAGAAGATAGGAGACGCCAAAATAACCTGAAGCTAAGGGGGGTCGCGGACTCCATTCCTGAAGCAGAGCTCCCTCACCTTACCAGGCGACTGCTAACTGCGCTCCTGACTCCAAAAGTGGCAAGAACGATCCTGCTGGATGAGATTTTTCGCATCCCAAAGCCGATTACAGCCCCACCAACGGCCACCGGTGATATAATCCTCCGCTTTCAAACAGCAAGAGACAAAAGGGCAGTACTCGAAGCCATCAAGGGCCGGCCAACATACACCTTTGAAGAAATGTCCCTCTCTTTCTATGCGGATATATCGAGTGGCACACTGTCCTGGAGAAGGTCCCTCCGGCAGGTCACCTCTCTCCTACGGCAGCAACAGATCCGATACCGCTGGGGACCCGGCCGGACCCTGAGCATAGAGAGCGCAAGTGGCCCTGTGCTGGCCCGGAACCTACAAGAGGCCGCAGAGGCATTAGAGAAGCTAAACCTCCCACTGTCAACCCTAGAAGCTGCATCAGCGCAGAGAGGCCCCACAAGCTGCAGCCTCGGGACACACTCGGCTAGCGCACCGGAATTTGTGCCAAGGCAAAGACCAGCGGAACCCTATGCGGCAGCCACCACTTGAACCGGGACTCTGAGCCTGGGACTGCTCACCGGGACGTTTTCTTCTTTTTTCACCTACACAAAGGTGTGAACTCTCGGGGACTATCAGTTTGAACAACACCCAGGGTCCTCCACCACAGCCCATTTAACACCGTGACCTCCCCGAATACCACTCCAGTGGTGATACGCACCTTGGGCCACAATGAAGTAGCCTAAGCTCGCTATCTCACGCCCACCGTGTCTAATCCATTTATACACCATATGTATAGCACATACCTCTCATAAAGACAGGGTGGTTCACTCCATCACAGCTTGACATTATGTCGGTTAATTCAACCCAATTGCATACCTACTATCCACACTAGCACACGCAGTCTAGCCACTTAACTATAGCTACGCTAGGGGTATGGGATACATGCTTCCAAGAGCTCGCTACACTTACCCAGATTAACCCTATCACTCACAGCCCTACCACTCATGTCGCTGTGTCCTTGACCTCAGCGAGCTGAGGCACATAGCCTTAGGAGGCCACACTGGCTAGCAGGGCGACACTACACCCTAACTCTTTAATCGCCCAGATTAGGCGAAGTTTATGTTCGGTTTAGCGACCATCACCTGTTTACTTCTAACGTTACCATGTTAGTACTGTATTCAAGCATACCTAGATCAAGCTCATATGTCATTCAGTTATTTTAACAAAACATAGAATGTGCGGACCTTTTCTGCTTCAATTTATAAAACTGTGCAGTTCTCTCACTTGCCATGTCAGATAATGTATGTTGATGTTATGCCTGTGACTGCTGTTGTGGCAACATGGGCTTGCTGTTCTAAACTTGCACTACAAAAATAAAGAATTAAAAAAAAAAAAAAAAAATAATCTACACCAAATCAACATTGCTTGGTAATATATCTTGAAATTATCTCTTTTATAAAATAAACCAGTTGGAACATACAGTAAAAAGGACACTCTAAGCACTAAAACAACTTTAGCTTATTAAAGCAGTTTTGGTGTATATATTATGTCCTTGCAGTCTCACTGCTCAACTCTCTGCCATTTAGGAATTAACTCACTTTGTTTATGGAGCCCTAGCCACACCTCCCCTGCCTGTGACTCACACAGTCTCCCCAACACTTCCTGTAAAGATCATTTTTATTTTTCATGCAGGCTGTGTGAGTCACAGTCAGGGGAGGTGTGGCTAGCACTGCATAAACAGAAGTAAAAGTGATTTAATGGTGCTTTGAGCATCCCCTAAGCCCTAATGCACTCCAGCAACCTAAAATGCTTTATTGGCCTAGGGTGTCCTTTTAATTATCCCAATTCCTGCTCGTTGTCTTATATCCCACTGATATATTTTGACCAGAAATTTCCAGGTGTCCTATAATTCTGTTACCTGGTGGTGCTGAGGCCTGTAATCTTTGTTGAATCATACTTTCTAGAGATTGTAGTCTTTGGTTCATTTGTAGCATGGCATTACTTAGTTCCTGCTGATTTGCTATTAGCATTGCTAGTGATTCTGAAGTTTCCGGCTGCTGAAATGTTGCCCTGTGAAAAAAAAAAAAAATCATATTTAGGTGACTGTTTTTTAATTTTAAGAAAAGTTTATACTTTTAGGTTTTAAAGGGACACTGTAGGCACCCAGACCACTTCAGCTAATTGAAGTAGTCTGGGTGCTTTGTCCATTTTGCACTTAGTGTTGCAATATAAAACATTGCAGTTCCAGAGAAACTGCAATGTTTACATAACCGCTCTAAGTCTGGCCTCTGTGGCTGTCTACCAGGGCCGGATTAAGAGCCCAGCTGTTCATAATTATGATGGGCCTAATTACAAAATCTTATTGACCAAAAACACTAAAACAGTCCTACCTCCTAAGCGTCATGTATCTGATGGAGATGTTGCTGGAGGGAAACTCATAGGATGCAACTATGAGAAAACACATACCCTTTGCTAATCTCACACTTTCATCTTTCAAGTCAACCCATATCCCCTAACAGCAGTGTCCAGTAAAGCAGGAAGTCTATGGATGCGGTAAAACGGTGGGCCACTGACACAAATCCCATAACTAGAACGGCCGAAAGGGCGAACATACACAAAAAGGGGGCATGTCTGTGTCCCCATGTCTCCCAGTCCTCTAGTGTCTGTGTCCCCATGTCTCCCAGTGTCCCCATGTCACTAGGACACTAGGGGACATTGAGAGACATGGGGACACTGGGAGACATGGGGGCACAGATACTAGGGAACACTGGGAGACCTGGGGACACTGGGTGACACACGAGGGGACACTGGGAGACATGGGGCACTGAGACACTGTGATATAGGGGACACTGGAGACTTGATAAAGACCTGGGTACAGGTCAAAATGTTGCGGTGTCCAATAAACCTGGCTAAATCTATCACAGTGAGTGCCTGAAATATTTTTCTTTTATACTAGGGGACACTGAGCCACTACGGGCACAGAGACACTACGGGCAGAGAGATATGGGGCACTGAGAGACATGGGGCACTGAGACACTCTGATACATAGGGGACACTGATACATAGGGGACATTTGAGACTTGATAAAGACCTGGGTACAGGTCGAAACATTGCAGTGTCCAATAAACCTGCCTAAATCTATCACTGTGAGTGCCTGAGATTTTTTATTTTATACTAGGGGACACTGAGACACTAGGAGACATGGGGACACTGTGAGACATTGGGAGACTAGGGGACTTTAGGAGACTAGGAAACACTGAGACACTAGGGACACTGGCACACTACAGACACAGAGACACCAGGGACACATGGGGATACTGAGATACTATGGACACAGGCTGGGAGACATGGGGACACTGGAAGTGCCTCATGTTTCCAAGGTCTCAAAGTCGCCCAGTGTCCCCATGTCTCCCTGTGTCCCCCAGTGTCTCCATGTCTCTCAGTGTACCCTAGTGTCTCAGTGTCCCCATGTTGCCCAGTGTCCCCTAGTGTTTGTATCCCCATGTCTCCCAGTGTCCTTTAGAGTCTGCGTCCCCATGTCTCCCAGTGTCCCGATGTCACTAAGACACTAGGGGACACTTAGAGACATGGGGCCACTGAAACACTAGGGACAGTGGCTGGGAGACATGGGGACACAGACTAGGGGCCACTGGGAGATATGGGGCCACTGTGTCCCTAGTGTCTCAGGGTCCCCATGTTCCCCAGTGTCCCAATGTCTCAGCTTCCCCATGTCTCGGAGCTGCTGTCTGGACTCTCAGTGAATAGAGAGAGGCAGGGAGGGAGATGCCGTAACTTCTTATCACTGCCTCTCTCCACACAAACAGCGACCCCTACTGGCTGGCGTTGGAATTGCAGAACAATCTCTGTTTATACTGAGACAGACATTTGTATTGCCGGTATTACTGCAATACCGGCACCGGCTAGGCAGACTCAAATACCTGAGAAATACTTCTGAGAAATACCTAGCAACCCTAAGAAATATATGAGAAATACCTGGCAACTCTAAGAGTAGTGTGTTAAATCAATGGGCCTATTCAATGGGCCTGGGCCTGGAGCTGCAGCTCCATCAGCCCCTTTGTTAATCTGGCCCTGCTAGAGGGCATCTTGAAACGAAACAGACCCTATAGATAGGGAGCATACAGTCTGACTGTACGGATTTTTATTTAAAGGTAGGGAGTATACAGTCTGACTGTACAGATTTTTATAGGTATGGAGTATACAGTCCGACTGTACGGATTTTTTTTTTTAAAGGTAGGGAGCCTACAGTCTGACTGTACGGATATTGTATAGGTAGGAGTATACAGTCTGGCTGTATGGATTTTTTATAGGTAGGGAGTATACAGTCTGACTGTACGGATTTTGTATAGGTAGGGAGTATACAGTCTGACTGTATGGATTTTGTATAGGTAGGGAGTATACAGTCTGACTGTATGGATTTTTTATAGGTAGGGAGCATACAGTCTGACTGTATGGATTTTTTATAGGTAGGGAGTATACAGTCTGACTGTATGGATTTTTTATAGGTAGGGAGTATACAATCTGACTGTACGGATTTTGTATAGGTAGGGAGTATACAGTCTGACTGTATGGATTTTGTATAGGTAGGGAGTATACAGTTTGACTGTATGGATTTGTATAGGTAGGGAGTATACAGTCTGACTGTACGGATTTTGTATAGGTAGGGAGTATACAGTCTGACTGTACGGATTTTGTATAGGTAGGGAGTATACAATCTGACTGTACGGATTTTATATAGGTATGGAGTATACAGTCTGACTGAACAGATTTTTTTTTAAAGGTAGGGAGTATACAATCTGACTGTATGGATTTTGTATAGGTAGGGAGTATACAGTCTGACTGTATGGATTTTTATAGGTATGGAGTATACAGTCCGACTGTACGGATTTTTTTTTTTAAAGGTAGGGAGCCTACAGTCTGACTGTACGGATATTGTATAGGTAGGAGTATACAGTCTGGCTGTATGGATTTTTTATAGGTAGGGAGTATACAGTCTGACTGTACGGATTTTGTATAGGTAGGGAGTATACAGTCTGACTGTATGGATTTTGTATAGGTAGGGAGTATACAGTCTGACTGTATGGATTTTTTATAGGTAGGGAGCATACAGTCTGACTGTATGGATTTTTTATAGGTAGGGAGTATACAGTCTGACTGTATGGATTTTTTATAGGTAGGGAGTATACAATCTGACTGTACGGATTTTGTATAGGTAGGGAGTATACAGTCTGACTGTATGGATTTTGTATAGGTAGGGAGTATACAGTTTGACTGTATGGATTTGTATAGGTAGGGAGTATACAGTCTGACTGTACGGATTTTGTATAGGTAGGGAGTATACAGTCTGACTGTACGGATTTTGTATAGGTAGGGAGTATACAATCTGACTGTACGGATTTTATATAGGTATGGAGTATACAGTCTGACTGAACAGATTTTTTTTTAAAGGTAGGGAGTATACAATCTGACTGTATGGATTTTGTATAGGTAGGGAGTATACAGTCTGACTGTATGGATTTTGTATAGGTAGGGAGTATACAGTCTGACTGTACAGATTTTTTTTTTAAAGGTAGGGAGTATACAGTCTGACTGTACGGATTTTGTATAGGTAGGGAGTATACAGTCTGACTGTACGGATTTTGTATAGGTAGGGAGTATACAGTCTGACTGTATGGATTTTGTATAGGTAGGGAGTATACAGTCTGACTGTATGGATTTTGTATAGGTAGGGAGTATACAGTCTGACTGTACGGATTTTGTATAGGTAGGGAGTATACAGTCAGACTGTACGGATTTTGTATAGGTAGGGAGTATACAGTCTGACTGTATGGATTTTGTATAGGTAGGGAGTATACAGTCTGACTGTACAGATTTTTTTTTTAAAGGTAGGGAGTATACAGTCTGACTGTACGGATTTTGTATAGGTAGGGAGTATACACTCTGACTGTACGGATTTTGTATAGGTAGGGAGTATACAGTCTGACTGTATGGATTTTTTATAGGTAGGGAGTATACAGTCTGACTGTACAGATTTTTTTTTTTAAATGTAGGGAGTATACAGTCTGACTGTATACATTTATTATATATAGAGAGCATACAGTCTGACTGCATGGATTTATTAATTCATAAATGCATCTCTATGTCTAATATAGCACGTTTAAATAGGTTGTAAAATTTTAAACAATTGACTTACGCCTGCAGGTTATTGGTTTGGTTCCATCGTGGGCTGGATTTAATGTTTCCATGGTTATTTCTCTTTTTCTGTGTGCTCGATAACTCAGATTTCTGTTTCCTCTCTTTTACTAAATGCATCAGTTCGCCCAATTCTTCCTGCAAGAAAAGTAGGCCGATGATTTGAGCAAGCGCCGAGAGACCTCTGAATTCATTAACAGAACTGTGAGAAGATTCATGCATTTTTAAACAGAAGTCCATTCCCACCAGAACATCACAGAGAAAAGTTAAAGTAGAATATTTTACAGTATTTAGAATAAATGCCTAAGGGAAGTAGAGTCTAAAAATTCTTGGACAAGTCTTTTCTATAGATCTTTTTAATATGATTATTTCTAGATTGTAATAGATAACCTCTAGTTACTATCTTCTATAATATCTTTAGGAGGGTTAGCGTGCACTCACTAAACTAGATGAAAGAAACACTCAACGCACCTACACCACTTTAGCCTGCTGAAGTACATTATCTGGGAATAGTGTGTCCTCTTTTTTCATTTTACAACAAGTGTAGATTTCAATAAAAATTGGCACTTTTATAAATGAACATTGACAGCCCCCTGGATGTCAATCACATAACTGGTTCTGTTACTTGGTTTGTTAAGCTCAGTGGCGGCAACTGACCAGAGCACATACCTTAAACTCGTCATTGAGCTGCATTGGGAAGTCTCTGATTGGCAGGCACAGAAGGTCTGGAGTTGCAAAGGCTTTAAAGTTTGATTTTAGATACATCCCCAATGAAAAAAATGCATAATTAAATACATGTTTTCATTTGTGGCATATCTACTAAATTGTAAAATAAATATTACAAAATCCATTGGAATATTCCTTTAAAGAAACTTTTACACAAAAATACCCAATTATTACAGAGATGCAACTATGTAAAAGGTGAATTACTTTTTGTATTTATAATGCAAAAAAAAAAAAATTATATATATATATATAAATATTAAAATATTAAAATATTTTTCAAAAATGCACAGCATTTTAATAGTGTATCCAAAAATATTAAATAATTTGAATATCTTATCCAGAAATATGAAATCGAGGCCTTGGTGTCTGATCCTATATTGCATATTTGCTAGTACCAAGGTAACAGATTCCCACTGTGTATAAATACTTCTCCCCCAGCATGGCTTGAATGCATACCAAGATCTCTGTTTTTATGATTGTGGAATGATGGGATTTGGCCCGTTGAACCATAGTCATAGAAGCATAGTCATTGGGTGTGTACAGGAGAGGCTTCATTCAAAAATATATCGCTGGTCAACTCCTGGTGGTGTAGTCCTTGGGGAGGTGCTGCCTCACACTCGCCCAGCCAGGGCTTAGACTTTTGTCCTATTTTACTTCTTTACTCTCTTGTGTGCTCTCTTACCTTTGCAATACTATGATGTTAGAAACCGAATAGTCCAAACATTAGAAGACCCATGTTATTTTGAATCTACTATGTTCACAAATGTAGTTCTTCTAAAGTAGATTTGTTGCTACTTATCTCTTGTGTTGTAATACAAAATTTAAAAGGACACTATAGGCCCCCAGACCACTTCATCTCATTGAAGTTGTCTGGGTGCAGTATTCCTGTCCCCCTTAGCCCTGCAATGTAAAACATTGTAGTTTTAGAGAAACTGCTATATTTACATTGCAGGGTTAAGACTGCCTCTAGTAGCTGTCTACCAGCCTCTAGTGGCTGTCTTACAGCCAGCACGTATAGCATGTGTTACAGCCAGCACGGATAGCATGTCTTACAGCCAGCACGTATAGCGTGTGTTACAGTCAGCATGTATAGCGTGTTACAGCCAGCATGTATAGCGTGTATTACAGCCAGCACGTATAGCGTGTGTTACAGTCAGCACGTATAGCGTGTGTTACAGTCAGCACGTATAGCGCTTGGTACAGCCAGCACGTATAGCGTGTTTTACAGTCAGCACGTATACCGTGTGTTACAACCAGCACGTATAGCGTGTCTTACAGTCAACACATATAGCGTGTTTTACAGTCAGCACGTATAGCGTGTGTTACAGCCAGCACGTATATCGTGTCTTACAGCCAGCACGTATAGCGTGTGTTACAGTCAGCATGTATAGCGTGTTACAGTCAGCATATATAGCGTGTATTACAGCCAGCACGGATAGCGTGTGTTACAGCCAGCACGTATAGCGTGTGTTACAGTCAGCATGTATAGCGTGTGTTACAGCCAGCAAGTATAGCGCGTTTTACAGTCAGCACGTATGGCGTGTGTTACAGCCAGCACGTATAGCGTGTGTTACAGTCAGCACGTATAGCGCGTGTTACAGCCAGCACGTATAGCGCGTTTTACAGTCAGCACGTATAGCGTGTGTTACAGTCAGCACGTATAGCGCGTGTTACAGCCAGCACGTATAGCGCGTTTTACAGTCAGCACGTATAGCGTGTGTTACAGCCAGCACGTATAGCGTGTGTTACAGCCAGCACGTATAGCGTGTGTTACAGTCAGCACGTATAGCGCATGTTACAGCCAGCACGTATAGCGTGTGTTATAGCCAGCACGTATAGCGTGTTTTACAGTCAGCACGTAAAGCGTGTGTTACAGTCAGCACATATAGCGTGTGTTACAGCCAGCACATATAGCTTGTGTTACAGTCACAAATGTTAGAATTATCAGTAAATATTTGGCTGCACTATGCATACAAACCATTCTCTTCCTACTGATTGAATTTCTATTACAATAAAAACAGTGAACTGAGCTAAACTAAACTGAGAAATAGAATTTATATTTAGACCTAAATCGCAAAGTTTGCAAAACGTGTATTTTCGCAAATTGTATTTTTGTCCAAATCACCATAATTCTAAATGTAAATAGAAACATAGAAACATAGAATGTGACGGCAGATAAGAACCATTCGGCCCATCTAGTCTGCCCAATTTTCTAAAAACTTTCATTAGTCCCTTGCCTTATCTTATAGTTAGGATAGCCTTATGCCTATCCCATGCATGCTTAAACTCCTTTACTGTGTTAACCTCTACCACTTCAGCTGGAAGGCTATTCCATGCATCCACTACCCTCTCAGTAAAGTAATACTTCCTGATATTATTTTTAAACCTTTGTCCCTCTAATTTAAGACTATGTCCTCTTGTTGTGGTAGTTTTTCTTCTTTTAAATATAGTCTCCTCCTTTACTGTGTTGATTCCCTTTATATATTTAAATGTTTCTATCATATCCCCCCTGTCTCGTCTTTCCTCCAAGCTATACATGTTAAGATCCTTTAACCTTTCCTGGTAAGTTTTATCCCGCAATCCATGAACCAGTTTAGTAGCCCTTCTCTGAACCCTCTCTAAGGTATCAATATCCTTCTGAAGATACGGTCTCCAGTACTGTGTACAATACTCCAAGTGAGGTCTCACCAGTGTTCTGTACAATGAGCACTTCCCTCTTTCTACTGCTAATACCTCTCCCTATACAACCAAGCATTCTGCTAGCATTTCCTGCTGCTCTATTACATTGTCTGCCTACCTTTAAGTCATCAGAAATAATCACCCCTAAATCCCTTTCCTCATATGTTGAGGTTAGGACTCTATCAAATATTCTGTACTCTGCCCTTGGGTTTTTACGTCCAAGATGCATTATCTTGCACTTATCCACATTAAATGTCAGTTGCCACAATTCTGACCATTTTTCTAGTTTACCTAAATCATTTGTCATTTGGCTTATCCCTCCTGGAACATCAACCCTGTTACATATCTTAGTATCATCAGCAAAAAGACATACCTTACCATCAAGACCTTCTGCAATATCACTAATAAAAATATTAAAGAGAATGGGTCCAAGTACAGATCCCTGAGGTACCCTAACTTGTTAGCACCAACATACGTGCTGTTACACATGTTGAAACTATAAACTGTATGTTAATAATTTATTATAAACAAACTCTGTAAATCTGTGCCATAGCTCCTTTCCTAACCCACAGGCAACATGTAATCTTCAAGCTCCATTCAAATGTGGTGAAAATTAGATTTTCATACTTTACTCTGATTTCATACTTTAATCTGATTTCTTTCTGCTGAGCGGTATTATTGTTTTAGTTGCCGAGGTAACAAATCAGTTTTGTTTCAGAGAACATATACAGGATTATCTAGTAAAATGAGAATTGAAAGTGAATTTCAAACTTATGGCCAAACTGAGAGCATAGATAATTTTTCCAGCTTGGCTATTTTGACATTACATTTAAAATTCACTTTGAATTCTCACTTAAGTGAATAACCCTCAGTGTAATTCTGACGCGTTCATATATATTCCACATTAGCAATTGGGCAAGTGAAAGGGGGAGTCACAGGTGCATGAGATTTTTGTCAAACTGCTCAAAAATGTTTTGCCAAAAAAGTGTGGAATCATGCACTAAGTCTCCTAACACCATAGCAAATATAATGGCTATAGTGGTTATGGTACTTAGACTGTCTTTTTCAGTGGCGTAGACTATATACATTATCTTAGGCATTAGGTGGTTTTTCAAAATTATGCAACACAACTATCAGTGTGATACACATCACGGAGACGAGACGGGAATGAGCAATACGGCTATCTAGGGGACCGTTAAGGGACTCGGGGAGTGCTAACAGTCCACGGGCTAGAGGGCACAATACTTGCCTTGTCCCGGGCACTGGCAACCCATGCTACTTCATTGTCTCGTTTAGGTGCTTTAAAGAAGGTGGAGGTTTGACTTGAGAGAAAGGCATAATAGAGACTGCGTGTCACAACTACAGATGTTGTCTTACTACATTCCCAATACTTCTCAGCCAGCCTATGACTCACAGATAAATATGGGATTTGTAGTTCAAAAACTGCTAGATGAGAAGACCAGTTTGACCACAATAACCACACTTGATCCAACACGCAAAACTATGTAACATCTACATAGAATAGAAAAATAGACAGAACGTAAACCGGTCCTTAGAATGGCCGGATTAATATGTTGAAAGACATAGAATGGTCAAGGGAAAGCCGAGGTCAAGGAAGCCAGAAATACACAAGACTGATAAGAAAGCCAAGTCAGGGAAACCAGAGATCAGAATAGTCAGGAATTGGTGGCATTTTGGACCCTGCATGTGAAGGGGACGGACGCCCCAGCGGGTCGGTTCCTGGCTCGTTGCTGAACAGTTAATTCCTCCAACCTCTCAGTGTGGTCGCACCGATCGGGTGCAGCCGCGAGCCGGGGGCCGTGAAAGTACCCCCCACTGGAAGACCGCCCACTGGGCGGGAAGGAGCAGGCTTGTTAGGAAACCGGTTGTGGAACGACCGGACAAGATGAGGAGTATGGACTCTAGCAGCGATCCAAGAGTTTTCCTCAGGACCATAACCTTTCCAATCCACTAAATAAGACAACATACCCCTAGACACCCTGGAATCCAGTATGGAACAGACCTCGAATTCCTCCTGCCCTCTAAGTTTCAGAGGAGGTGGATGAACAAACTGTTTGGCGTACCGGTTGCAAGTAAGTGGTTTTAAAAAAGACACATGGAATGAGTTCAATATTTGCAAATCTGCAGGAAGGGCGAGAGAGTATGACACAGGATGAATCCGTCGAAGGACTCGGAAAGGACCTATAAAGCGAGGAGCCAGTTTCATGGAAAATTCTTTCAATTTGATATGAGCCGTGGAAAGCCAGACCCTGTACCCAGCTTGATAGACAGGACTGGCACCACACCGCTTGTCTGCCTGAACCTTAGTATGTCTGGAGGCCGCCTGTAACGCTTCATGTACCGAAGCCCAAGTGTCACGGATAGAGGCCAAACGGACGTCTAAAGCGGGAATGTCAGATTCTGAAAAATCAGAAGGTAATATAGTGGGATGATAACCATTACGTACAAAAAAAGAGTAGAGGACTCGTGGGTTGCATTGTTTCTAGCAAATTCAGCCATGGGCAGGAATTCTGATCAGTTAGTCTGATTGGCATCAATAAAGCAACGTAAATAAGACTCCAAGGCTTGATTAGCTCTCTCCGCCGTCCCATTGGTCTGAGGGTGATACGAAGAGGAAAAAGAAAGTTCTATGCCCAACTGTTTGCAGAAATAAAATCCAAAATTGCTAAAATCTGAAAATACATTGGGTACCTCTGTCAGAGACTATGTTTTTCGGTATCCCATGTAGCCTAAAGATTTCATGGAAGAATACTTGGACAAGATCCTGGAATGATGGCAGTTTTTTGAGAGGTATAAAATGTGCCATCTTGGAGAAACGGTCCACTACCATAAGGATAGTGTTACACCCATTAAAACTCGGGAGATTAACAATGAAATACATGGCTAGGTGGGTACACAAAGCATCTAGTATTGGAAGTGGCTCTAACAACCCAGAAGGTGATTTGTGGGGATCCTTGGACACAGCACAAATTCTACATGCTCCCACATAATCCTTGACATCACCTCTAAGTGACGGCCACCAAAACTTTCTAGTAATGGCAGAGAGGGTTTTGTGTATACCAGGATGTCCAGCTGTCACGTTATCATGGTATAACTTGAGTATCTCAGATCTCTGTGATGGTGAGACAAACAGTTTATTAGATGGTTTCTCTGCTGGTGCCTGAATTTGATCTTCTATTATGGCACAAAGGAGCGGAGAAGACAATTCTGAAACAGTCGTAGCTATAAGACACTCAGGGGTTATGATAGGAGATGTCTTCTGGTCTGGAAACTCATTAGTATCATACTGTCTAGACAGAACATCGGCCTTATTATTCTTAGTGCCTGGTCTGTAACTAATAAAATTAAAACGTGAAAGGAAAAGTGAATATCTAGCCTGTCGGGAAGACAATCTCTTAGCGTCCCCAATGTAAGCCATATTCTTATGATCCGTGAAAATCAAAAGTGGCTATTTGGAACCTTCTAAGAGATGCCTGCATTCTTTAAGAGCTAGAATAAAGGCCAATAATTCCCTGTTTCCGATGTTGTAGTTTCGTGCTGCCGCAAGCCGGGGGCCGTGACACTGAGGAAATAGTGAAGACATTTCATTTTTAGATAAGTTGCAATATACTTTTTACTACAATATGTTTTTACTTGAAGGGGGAGTAAAATATATATATGCCTACTGACTCTTTTGTGCATCTTCCTAATCATTGAGGAAGGAGAGGAGAATTTGATTTTTTTGGAGGGGATTTGGGGTGTCTGAAACATCTATGTGTCTAGGCACCTGAGAAGCAAATCTGGTCCTCTAATTAGCTTATTCTTCATCTAAATTTTTACAGACAAGTGCCAGTCTTTGTTAGTGTGGTCAAACTGGTCTTCTCATCTAGCAGTTTTCGAACTATAAATCCTATATTTATCTGTGAGTCATAGGCTGGCTAAGAAGTATGGGGAATGTAGTAAGACAGCATCTGTGAGGTGGTCTTAGTTCGACACCAATAATCTATAAGCCATAGCACCCTGGGTTAAAGGAGACGTGCTCTGACCTTGATTTTCCTTTATTTAGTATTGGCAGAAATCTGTTGATTTGTTAATGAGAATAGTATATGGTCCATCATGACCTGGTCATGACCGGGAGGGATAATAACCTTGTTTGTCATCAAAGCTTTAGAGATTAACAGAGAATCTGAAAAATATTTTTTCACATGAGAATACCCATAATAAAAGGTTGCAGAAACACCCCACTATTTGTGAAATGCCGCATGGAGAACGCCGTTACAGCATGTCACTTGTAGTTTGGATCACAATCACAAGTTAATTAAAAATGTTTGAAGTGCAATTTGAATAATATCCATGGCTTTTACATTCAACAATGATATTATTAGGTTGGTTTCCTGATCTTTTTTCGCATACCCAGTGAAAGACTTTGATCTTTGTCTGTGTGTGTCGTCCTCCGCACTAAATAAAGCAATTAGCATCTCTTGTTTTTAATCCAGTGTCACCCTACGCAGATCATATATGGTTATAGAGGTCATTGTCTCTCTTTATGAGGCATCACATTTTATTATGTGTAGTTTTCACATCAAGATTGATTCACTGACAAAACACTCAGTCTGAAGCACCCCCGCACAAAGCCGTTTATCACAACAATTTGACAGAGAAAAAACAACTGTGTTAGATTGTGCTGAATGCATTATGACAAAGTAGGCCTTCACAGTTACTTCTTTATACATTTAAAATTAGATTATCTTGTGACGGAAATCAATTATAAATAAAGGCTAAAGGAACTATGAACACAATCTATCTAGACCATGGGTTCTCTGTACCATGCACGTTCCTTCTATTCAAGAACTAACCATAAAGGGACTCTGTCACTTTTTATTTTGTCTGTGTAATTAAGGATAGATTAGTCTGGCTCCAAAATTACATTATTAACTATACAAATGTTAATCGAGAATGAAGACATCTAAAATATTCTTGATGTACTGTACCTTGTCCTATGGTCTCACCTTCAACCATGCCTCTTAAATTGTAAGCGGAACCATTGGAATTGTTGGGAGGTATGACTGGGAAATAGGGGAGGGCTGACAATTTTTGGCCTGGTGGCGAAGTACAAATGTGAATCTGAGAAGTTTTAGGAGACTTACTGATAACAGTTTATGCAGCTTAAAACCCCTCTGACAAATTAATATTTCATAAAGATAGAATATTTCTGAAATACTGATACTGACTGTGTTGGACTATCACTGACGGTGACAGTGCCTCTTTAAATGTAAATCACAACAAGAAAAATGTATCTTATTTACACAGACTGATCTCTAAACACATTTATTGTAATTTAAAGACACATTACTGTGAATTATATTTCTCTGGAGCTCTGTTATACACTCAGACACTCTAACAATATGAATCTTCTAGAAAAGTTGGACATTAGGAGAAAAGCGGGAGAGAGGAATGTGGTACTAAAATAGGGACTGTCCCTCCTAAATAGGGACACTTGGGAAGTATGCAGTACTCTACCAACAAACATCCCAATGCAACTCCTGCTATTCTAGTCTACAGAAAAATGGTTTGATGCTGCAGCCCACAACCCCTGTATGCCAGTGTCATTGTTGGGTAATTGGTCCCCATACCCTGCTAGCCCTCTTTTAGAAGGTGATTCTTCGAACATCCTCTGATATCACAGCATGCAAATTGGGGGAACGTTTGGTTTAATAATTAACAATACATTAAATACCATTTATCTGCTTCTATGGTGGGACTATTGCAGGATATTGCATAGTATCCTGACGTACCTTGATCTGGATGGTGACTTTTTTCAGGTCATCATCTTGGTCAACTGTGAGATCATCGTCATAGAACAGGGTCAGTGGAGCGCAGTTTGTCTGGATATGTTTAGCAAACTTGTCTTTGTTCTTTTTATTAAGATTTTCTTCCATTTGGAGTAGTGTGCTAGCTTGCTGCATGGCTGCATTTGCTGTTGCATTATCATATACCCTAGGGTTGAAAGATATTAAAGGAATATTATTATTACTATTTTATTTATAGTATCACAACCTGTATCTAGTATGCTCCAATTTGCCACCTTCAGAAGCTCCTCGTACTAATTCCCCCATGTCTGATGGTTTTGTCTTCCTTTACTTTTTTTTCTGTAGATCACTTAGCTCTATCTCTATGCTCCTAATATTTAAAGGGTCCCTCCAAGCATTTCAGCAACCAGTCTTAATTTGGTTGGTTATGGGGGAATTAATCATCACCGATTAACATCTTCATGCCGCCCGCTGCACCAGGTTTAACCCATCAGCATGCGACATTATAGAAGGAATACAATTCTCTCTGTTGTTTATTTCATGTTCTCAATATATGTGTGCTTTTTATGTCATATTTTCAATTATTTTGCCACTGGGATTCCAAGTACAGAAAAAGGAGAATTAATTTATATCTATCTGCTATATGAGTATACTGGCAACTAGTGATGTCCCGAACGGTTCGCCGAACGGTTCGCCACGAACGGTTCGCCACGGACTCATCATTGAGTAAACTTTGACCCTGTACCTCACAGTCAGCAGACACATTCCAGCCAATCAGCAGCAGACCCTCCCTCCCAGACCCTCCACCTCCTGGACAGCTCACTAAGAATGCAGCTTCACAATGAATGTAAAATGGATGCTGTCCAGGAGGTGGGAGGGTCTGGGAGGGAGGGTCTGCTGCTGATTGGCTGGAATGTGTCTGCTGACTGTGAGGTACAGGGTCAAAGTTTACTCAATGATGAGTCCGTGGCGAACCATTGGTGGCGAACCGTTCGCGAACCGTTCGCGAACCGTTCGGCGAACCATTCGGGATATCACTACTGGCAACCATTTGTGTATTATGCACCTGAATAAAAATAAATACATTTTACTTTATTTTACTATCTACTGGGAATCCCTTTACTATAGGGACTTCTGCCTTTTATACATATTATTATCGTAACCATATATAGTAATGCATATTTGAAATTTAAAAAAAAATTATTATATTTTAATGGGGGGATCACTTTTTCTAACAGCTAAATATGCTTGTTTGCAATTTACTTTTGTTTTGTAATTTGTGAAAAAACTTTTTTTTTTAAATATACAAGTATATTTTTTTAAACAAAATGACAATTTAATATATATTAAATGTATTTAATGACTTTAAGAGTGTGACCCAGCTATTATTTATTATTATTATTATTTATTTTTGGCATTTATATAGCGTCACCATATTCCGCAGCGCTTTACAATATTATTAGAGGGTGGTTCCTGTAACAAGACAAGTACAAAATGTTACAGGAACAGTAGATTGATGACAACTTACAGTCTAGAGCAGGCTTCCCCAAACTCCGGCCCTCCAGATGTTGCTGAACTACAACTCCTATGATTCTATGAATGAAATAGATAGGCTGAGAATCATTGGGGTTTGGGGAAGCCTGGTCTAGAGCTATTAAATTAATTTTACCCCGGATCCTTTAGTTTATACATATATTTGTCTGGATATACCTACTTTGTGTTTGTAAATATCCATTGAATTATTATTTTATAATAAGATGTTGTGAACATTGTATTATTCCAGTGTCTCATTAAAAATCCCAATTATAAGAAAAAAAACTAAATATAATGTTGAAATAGTGCCACCTTGTGTTTCATTAATTTGTGTGTTCCAGCCAGTTGCATTGGATGGCTCTATTACTGCTTTAGCTTATAGTTGATGTTTAGATAGACCCTTCTGTTATAAAGAGTAATCTTTAGAGAATATTATTTTTAGAATTTTTGGGGTTATTAGACAGGAGTTGCGTAAGACCCCATTTGAGTTGCTGTTACTAATTTGAAACTCTTAGTAATTATTAAAAATGTACAATACCTTTGAAATGTATCCGCAAGCAGAGCAATGAGTAGATTAATACAGAGAATTGCTGAAACTCCCAAGAAGGTCCCACACAGTATATAAGCCATTACGGGATCAACGTCATACATATCTTCGAAATTATAGTCATCAACCAGGGTGATTCGAAAAATAGTAAACAGCAATTGGGGAACATTACTCATATTACTCACGTGTCCTGTATAGCCAAGATAAAAAAAAAAAAACACATTATCTAAATGTAAAACCATGCTGAATACAAAACCGCTAAAATGATCAATATTACTAAAAGCAAATGATACCTCCAAAAATAATCCAGAAGGCGCAGGCATAAGGGATATAAAATTCTCCATATAAAAATAGGAATTTAAGCACATCCTTCGTGATTTTTCCAAGCATCACAATAAATGGACCTAAAAGTCTGAAACAGAGAGAATTAATATACCAGATCATTAACTATAACAATAATTAAGTTACTGTTTATTCCCTCCAAGACCCTCCCACGTCCTGGACAGCATCCATTTTACATTCATTGTGAAGCTGCATTCTTAGTGAGCTGTCCAGGAGGTGGGAGGGTCTGGGAGGGAGGGTCTGCTGCTGATTGGCTGGAATGTGTCTGCTGACTGTGAGGTACAGGGTCAAAGTTTACTCAATGATGAGTCCATGGCGAACCGTTCGTGGTGAACCGTTCGTGAACCGTTCGGCGAACCGTTCGGGACATCACTAATGGTAAGTAAAGCTTTTGTGACATTGTTTGCAAACATCAACAACTGTTAGTTTGTTTGTGTGTAAACACTGCAACTTTTTAGGGTACCGGATAATTGTTGAAAAGTGTATTATGCGGCTTATAAAGTAATTTTAGCTGGAACCAGTGGTTCTATTTAAGTGTCAATAACGCATCTTTGAAAGGATTGTGATTGCTTATTCTTGATGGTTTAACAAAGGGCATTTTGCATGGAGTCAAAAATGGTGTAAATACAGAAAAATAGGTCCTGCGCTTAGAATCCTACTACTCTTGGGCGGCAGCAATGACCACAGTACACAGCCACAACACATACAATAACAAGAAAATAGTTACTTGTGCATTACCCCAAATCCCTATGCATGTTTAGACAAATTAAGGTTTTTTTGTTTCACTCCATTGGCCATTAGATGTAAGCCCACCTTCCATGTCAAGGAAAACCTCTTAGGTGGGTCCGTCCTACACTGACAATTCACCTTGCTTCCTTCAGCTTCAGGCAAAAAAATATCTAATGAGACAGAGAGGGGTATTTTATTAAACCCCTACATACTAACTAACCCTTAATAAGGAACATATGGGCGGGGCTGCAGCACTGTAACATGGCTGTGTGATACAAAAGTGAATACAAGTACACACTAATATCTGTTACTTGTTTTTAGCAGGTACAGTAGGCTATCTAGATCAGATAAAGACTCTACAATTATTTGACTTTGGCCATTGACGTAGAATCTGACCTCTGACTAGTGCTGTATAATTTGAGCCATATAAACACAAACATGTACAGTTACATACATTGAACTGTTTGAACTTGATGAAGACGTCTAATTATTAAACAACAGAAAACGACTTGATTGCTCTGCTAATACTTGTATTAATTAATGTATTAATCCTTTCAGCTTGAAGTGTAACTCTGGTATATAACGTATTTGTTTGCTTTGCTGCATTTATTAATTTGCAAACTGAGTTTATGACATAATTTTCCTGGTTTCATTGTAAAACATGTTTATTTGTTTTTTTTTAGAATACTGTGGTAAACCTTTGGTTACAATGCAAAACAATGGAGTTTATTCTCTAAACTCTGAATAAAAATCAAAATGGCAGGCCTGGCTACGCGCAGGGATTACATACCTCCCCCTCAACCACCACCTAGCCCAAAATAGATCCAGAGCAAAATATAACAAAGTAACGGAGGTGCACTTTAGTCTGGCATTGTGCCTTTTGCCCTGAGTAATTTCGGCAGGCCACACTGCTTCACAGCTGGGCAATAGATTGTTACATCCACAATGCGCAGCCACTACAATAATTGTGTTAGAGTGTCGTTTGATATGTTCCTTTTGTTAATTTTTTTTTACAGTTACTAGCCAGGAGTACCCCGTGCCCGCATAAATGACCCATGGACCAGCACACTTTTACCCACCGATTATTAGTATTGGCTCACTGTAAGCCCTTTCTTGGCAAGGTCTCGATAACAAGCACCCGGATTAGCTCTTAGTTAACTAAAAAAAAAAATACTAAGCTATGCCACCTCGAGACAGGAGGTATTTTTGTTTATCCATACTACAGTTTATTGTATCTGATATGTCTCCTTTGTTTTATAAATGTGTGCCCTTGTGCGCTTTTCCGTTGGGCATCAATGTAAAAAATGTTTTTTAAATTAAAATGGCAAACTTGAGGCTAAAATAGCTAAGTTGCGACTATAGTGGAGTTGGAAATGTGTTTGTTTTTAAGGTTACTTGTTTAAGTCTAAATTTTAGTTTTGATTTAAATATGCTACAATTAAGAATTTAGTGAATCAGTGTTCCGTCGTGACCAGGCACGGCATACAGGGTCTGAGAGACACACTGGACTGGAGAGATTCCACAGGGAGAGTCCTCATACTGACATTCCATTGACGTCTGTCACATTCTTTATTAGCTTACTGTCTCCGATCTCTAGAAAAATAACTTATTTGAGACTAGTTTCAAATTTAAAATACGTGCTTTCATTTTAACCATTAATATTTCCACAGCTTTACTTTGGTGATCTGAGATTAGGGATTAAAAGAAATAGGACTAATGGTTTCAATATGCAGTTTAAGAAACGTATTTTCTTGTGTACTCACCGGATGGCTCGAGCGTGCTTCATCAGCCGTAACCAAAGGAAAATAATGGTGACAGCAAACACACGAACATGAGACGTATGCAGGTTTGAATTGTGTCGAACAACGATATCCGCAATGTGAGTTAGGATGACGGCGAAAAGTAAAAAGTATACTATCCAATCAAAAACATTCCTGTGGGGAAGGAATACATAGTTACATTTAAATTCACAGCACAGATACGAACATTCCTTTTTCTGTTCCAATACATGCAGTTTTATTTATACGATCCCAATGTATAGGTCATAGCTTACAGTCACTTGCAGTGCCAATACCAGCCAGCACTACTTTAACCCCTTAAGGACACATGACATGACATGACACGATTCCCTTTTATTCCAGAAGTTTGGTCTTTAAGGGGTTAAAATGGTTTTTTTTAGCCTTTACAGTTTAGAGAGCTGAGCAACATATTGTTCTATCTAGGACCCTGGTAGTAAATGATTGAAAAATAAGTATACACACATATATACACACAAATAAGCATCCACTTTATTCTGGTTATAGTACGACATATTAAAATAAATGCTACCGTGTCACTGATACTCTGAAAAAGAGGGCTGCAATTAGACCATCCTTTAAAGGAACACTGTGGGCACCCAGACCACTTGATCTCAATGACATAGTCTGAGTGCTATGTGCCCCCCTTATAACAGTGCAGTTACATTGCAGGGTTAACCAGCGTCTAGCGGCAGTCAGTATGAAAGCCATTAAAAGTGCTTCCATAAAAGAGCAGACTAGAACTCTGCTAGTTTACCCAGTGCATTGCTGCACATGTGCACTAGCCTACCAATGTGCTCCTGTGGGAAGGCATTGGATTGACTGAAATCGTTGATGAACTCAGCCAAAGAGGTGGAGCTTGAGCAGGGAGACCTAGGGCTGTAAGGTAAGTAAAATACCTTTTTTTGACCGTTGCAGAGCTAGCTAAGTCATCTAAACAGTGACTAGGGCACTATAGCATTAGACATACATATTTATATTCCTAATGCTGTAGTGTTACTTTAATATATTTTAACATAGACAGTAATGATCCTCCTGCAATTAATAAAGAAGTGTACTCAGGTAAACACTAATGCAGGCAGACACGTGCAGACACAAACTGACACTGACCCGTGCATACACACTCACTAAACCGTGCAGACACACACACACCCGTGCAGACACACACTGACCCATGCAGACACACAGACACCGACCCATGTAGACATACACACTGACACATGCAGACACACACACAGATTGACCCATGCAGACACACACACTGACCCATGCATACACACACTAACCCATGCATACACACACTGACCCGTGCATACACACTCACTAAACCATGCATACACACACTCACTAATCCATGCAGACACACACACACCAACCCATGCAGACACACACACATTGACCCATGCAAACACACAAACTGACACATGCATAGACATACTGACCCATGCATACACACTCACTAAACCATGCAGACACACACCGACCCATGCAGACACACACACTGACCCATGCAAACACACTGACCCGTGCATACACACTCACTAAACCATGCAGACAGACACACTGACGTGTGCAGACACACACACCGACCCGTGCAGACACACACACCGACCCATGCAGACACACACTGACCCATGCAGACACACTCACTAAACCATGCAGACACACACACTGACCTGTGCAGACACACACACCGACCCATGCATACACACACTGATCCATGCAGACACACTCACTAAACCATGCAGAAGGCTTTTTAAATGTACAACCTTATCCACAAAATTCCATTCAGCAATAATGATGCATTGTTAGTCTCAATAAAGATCTTTCAGTAATTTATTTGCCATTCACCTCCTTAAATCTGTCGGTTTTGTCATAATACAGTATCATATGTTTATCATATGTTTATGAATAATCAGTATCATATGTTTATGAATAATCCCTTGAGTTTACCAATTATGTAGCTATATTTTCCATAATACTGATTGCATTTTTTGTATGTCTTTATACAGGTCATTACTTTTTATATGTTTTTATTTATACATTTGTAATCAAAATTACTCACCCCCATTAAAAATCAGGTTTATTGTCAAAATTTTTACTTTCAACTGTTTACAAAAAACAAATTAAACAAAAACAATTGAAATAACTAAACACAACAATTACTTCACATGGTTTTCCCAAATTTAACTGAAAATGCAATTTAAAATTACTTTTCCATTCCCCCAAATCATTCAATCCCTGCATGACACGCATCTTTAGTACTTAGTAGAGCATCCTTTTGTTGTTATGACCTGCTGCAAACGAGATGCATAGCCAGACACCAGCTTATAGCAGCGTTCCTGAGGAATCTTAGCCCACTGCTCAGTTCAGTAATATTCTTGGGTTTGCGTGCTGCAACCGCCTTCTTCAAATCCCACCAGAGATTTTCTATGGGGTTCAAGTTAGGTGACTGTTATGGCCACTGTAGAATTGTCCAGGAATTCTTCTGCAATTTGAGTTATGATTGGGATTATTGTCTTGTTGCAAGGTCCAATGATGCCCCAGCTTCCTCAAAGACGGCACAACATTTTCTACTAGTATTTCCTGAAATTTCAATTAATCCATCTTGCCTTTCATACTCTGCAGCCACCACCATGCTTAACTGTAGGCAGAGTATTCTTTTCAGTATATGCTTCATTTTTCTTCCACCAGAAATACTGCTGATCCATTGGGCCAAAAAGTTCCAGTTTTGTTTCATCGCTGCACAGACTAGAATCCCAAAGTTGCTGTGTCTTATTTATAAGATTTTGAACATATTGGTGCCAACTTTTCTTGTACTTTTGGGTCAGTGGTGGTGTACCTCTTGGTGTTCTGGCATGGAAACCATCTGCATTTAGTACAAGTCTTACTGTGCTCCTTGAAACCTCAGTGCCTATTGCTAGACTGAGTCTTTTGCAGTCACTCAAGGATTTTTCACAACCTGCCTTCTTAGAAAATCTGGTTGCAGCCATGGATAGCTTCCCTTTTTTTGCTCCATCGAGGTAGTGTAACCACTGTTCCTTCATCTTGGAACTTGGGAACTATGTGTCCAATGATATCTCTAGGAACTTTCAGTGCCTTTGCTATCTTTTGTATCCTGGTCCTTGTTTGTAAAGGGCAATGATCTCTTCTCTTAACTTTGTGGATCATTCTTTTGCCATATTTGTAACATACAATCAAACATGACACTTAACAAACCCCTAGCCAGTTCAGGTAATAAAAGTGTTCCAGCTCAAGCACACGTGGTACAACTAATGAAGCCCTTGATTAGCTGCATCAGGTGTGCTTGCGACAACACCTGTTTTGCATATGTGTGCTGTTGTGAGGGATTCTATTTAGGGTGTTGAATCATTTTGAGACTGGAGAAGTCATTATAAGCTGCATTTTCAGTTGAATTTGGGAAAACCACTTGAAGCATTCATTGTGTTGGGCTATTTCAATTGTTTTTGTTTGATTTGTTCATTGCAAACAGCTGAAAGTCTGTAGATTTTGACAATAAACCTGATTTGCAAAGGGGATTAACAAATTATAATTACAACTGTACATTACTCTTGTATTATATCAGAGTATTAAAATGTTCCACCTCTGGCACTTTCATCTCTATATTTCATATCTCTATCTGGCTGATAATAATTTCACTTCTGCACTCATGGGATTTTTCTTGTTTGCCTCAGCCTCTATACGTCCCGTTTCCCTGTCCTCGATTTTATCAAGATGCAGGGAAATGCTGGTAATTGATGACAAAGTGAGTAATAGCGGAGGCAAGGGAACAAAGTGTCTTAAAATAGATTACACAAACATGCCGCCCCAAAATATTCTGTCAGTCATGCCCGTCCTTAGGGAGTGGTGAATGAGGCACTTGCCCAACAGTCCGTTTTGATCTGTTTTGCAAGTAGCATTGAAGCAGTGGACATCAACTTTCCTGGTGGTCCATCAACGTCCATGGGAAGGTTCTGTTAGAGCCCATATTCTACTTAAAACATCAGAGTTGTAATTTGAACTTTTTTTGCATGATTTTAACAGTATGTGACAGCAGCAACAAGGGAACCAGGCTTTCAGCCAGATAAGGATCCAGCATAAGATATGAATTAACAGCATGCCTTCTTATGATTAAAAGCAATGCAACTCAAAACATGTAAGATATTTATCCTCTGATCCATACACTGCACCACGGGCTATTTTAGGAAGACAAAATAAAATAAGATATTACTTTAATTGATTTATTTGGCGTGTTCTTATTCCAGCATACATGTCTATATATTCTATAACTTTTACATATCCATTGGAACGTTTTCTAAGCATACTTTGAATTTATTTAAAATTACCCTATGAGCCATCGTAGTGTTTATGGTGCTGGCAGACTGTTGGCATCATTCCTCTTTCTTTTCAAGAGGTTAAGCGCAAATCAAGTGTTCTATTTGTGCTTACAAGCCTGGCGCCTCGCTCACCGTATTGCTAATGTGGAGGTTACATTTCCTTATTCGCAAAGTCAATTTGGCCAAATTAGACAGAGCATGTCACCTGATACTCTCAGCCCATCAATATTGTCCTAATTTAAATGAAATTGACAGCGACAATGTGAAAATGTTACAAGGGTATGGGCAGAGGGCGGCTGGGGAACCCTGCATTTGTGTAAAACCACTTGAAAACTGTTTTTAATAAACAACTAGGGTATGGCAACCGCAGCCTGCTAGGACCATAACCACTACAACTGGTTGTAGTGGTTATAGTGCTTAGAGTATCTTTTTAGGTGCAAAATACTATACTAGCCGCTAAACACATTTTAAATATAATAATAATAATAATCAACAGATATCAACTTATGTACCCTTATGACGGGAGTTACAAGTTTCCTACAGCGAATGCACAAACCCACCTTTAGCATTGAATAGGTTAAACCAACATCTGGATCGCAAATAATTGTTTGAGTTACTAGGACACAAATGTAATACATTCAGAGGAAGTAAATTCAAAACAGACAGAAAGGAAACATTTCTTTACGAGGAAGAGCAGAAATGCTGTGAATGACCTACTGGGCATAATCAAAGGCATAATGGCCCATCAAAAATTAATTAGATTCTGGCCTCAGGGAAATGTATTATTGAATGAAAATAATTTAATGGACACAGTTGTCTTTTTTATAGCCTCTATTTTTAAACAATTTATAATTGAGAATGCAGTGGGGGGTAGTGTGTGATATATTATGTATGGGGATACAGTGGAGGCAGTGGGTGTGGTGGGGCAGTGTACAGTTAGGGATGTGGGGGCAGTGTGTGAGTAGTTGGGGGAGGTGGCAGATTAAAAAAAATATTTTTTTTACATAAAAAAAAATATTCTTTATATCCCCCCTCCCATCTTACCATTCCCCAGGGAGGGGGGATATCGATTATGAAGCCCTGGTGGTCTGGTGGAGAAATTCTCTGGCGGTTCTAGTGGGGAGTGAACCACTGCAACGCTCCGTGCTCGGGAGAGGAGACCCGGCGGAGCTGCAGGCTAGAGCTCACGGATCTGCTCTCCCTCCCGTGCCGACTGCCCAGCAAAGTGCCTGCGGAACAGTGAGGGAGATCTCTGATCTCCCTTCTGGTCCATGAAGGCACTTAGGAGGGCTGGCGCTTGGATAGTACTGGCACTGCCCCATTGCCCCCCCTGGATCCGCCACTGTTCCAAAGCCAGATATTTCTTCCTGTGAACTCATTTCTTCACTCCACACCATACATCATTTGGCAGCCACATTCTCCAGTGTGGCATTCAGATGTTCTAGCAATGCTGGTATGGCACCGACACCACAACACTACCTATATAAGCCCTTCAGACAGACCTGTCTTTACGTGGTCATGGTTACTTCAAATATAGCTTCTTGTGTTTCTAACCTTTTTGGTATTAACCTAACTGGATTTATGTCCATTTTGGCCTTGTTATGCAAAATTTCACTTGTTTCCAGCACTTTATTTAGCATACCACAATACAAAAATAAAGTGGATCGGTCCTCATTTTTCTCCAGAGCACCGCAATTATGAAATAACCTCCCAGACACTTTCAAATCTTCAAAGATCCTTTAAGAGATCCCTGTCAAAATATCTCAATACAAAATGCATCTGTAATCATGGCTGATTATATGTCTTACCTGTCTGTGTTAAATTTATATATCTGTATCTTAATATTGTTTTGCATTTGTAATATTATTGTACCCTATTGTAACAATGGAATGGTTGTTGGCCCAGGACATACTTGAAAATGAGAGAAATCTCAATGAGTCCTTCCTTGTTAAATATTTTATAAATAAGTAAATATCCCTTGGCTTCTGGCCTGTACACTAGTACTCAATTTCTCCCTACTATAGGCATGGATTAAACCTGTGCATATTTAAGGATCCTTTATACACTAACTATCTCATTCTCACTTTGTCATAGGAGACATGTGTACCTTAAAGGGACACTGTAGGCACCCAGGCCACTTCGGCTCATTGAAGTAGTCTGTGTGCTGTGACTCTTTTGCACTTAGTGCTGCAATGTAAAACATTGCAGTTCCAGAGAACTGCAATGTTTACATTGCAGCTCTAAGTCTGCCCACAGTCTTCCGAGATCCAAACCAACCTTTGGTCGGTTATCTGACGCTGGACGTCCTCACAGACCTCCAGCGTCAGATATTCCCCATAGGAAAGCATTGAACAGGTCTAATGTGCGCGTGCGGCCATTGCCGCGCATGCGCATTAGGTCTCCCCGCCGGCTGACATTGGCGGGTGAGGAGTGTGGGCGGAGTCTGACCCGGCGCCGAGGTAAATCGGAGCTGGATTCAGGTAAGTGTCTGAAGGGATTTTAACCCCTTCAGCCCCGTGGGAGGGGGGCTATTAACCCTATAGTGCCAGGAAAACAGCTTTGTTTTCCTGGCACTATAGGATCCCTTTAACATTTACACTTCACAACTGAAAATCAACCAAAGAGAAATTTCTCAAATGGGGCAATAATCTGGGTAAGAAAGGGTAATCATTATAAGTATGCCCCAAATGCTCCCAGTGCCTTTGGATTCATGGCGGAACTATAGAAAAAACATATCCAAAGCAGGTCTCTTTAATATTGTGATAGGGTAATGTCTGGCAAAATTTAGGTATTCTTAAGAATATTTCTTGATCTAAATTTTCTAAAGTTCAGAGACCCTAAGGTTAACAAACTTGTTCAGGCCATATCCTGAGTCTCTTAGTAAAAGATGTGATGAGGTTAAATATTTCTTAGCTTACTGCATACAAATCCGACTTTATGCCTTCGATCTTTCTATATCGTGCCATCTTCGTTGTTTATCTTCCCCTTTGTTCTAACCTGATGAAATCGGAACTCTTTGCTCAAGTTACAAAGGCCAACATTTTGTTGCGTGACATCTTTTTCAACAGCTTAAAACCGCCCTTATAAAGCTTTTCAGCAGAGAGAATCAGATAGGTATCAGCAGTCAGATATAGCTGAAACCACTGGATTTAACGCCTTGGCTACAAGAGACAGCAATCAGGGCTGAAAGACGAACATGTCATGCAGTACAAGTGCTGGAGTTGTTTGTTGTGATACAGTCAAGACAAAAAAAGAAATATTGAAAAATATTCAGCAGGCAGAGGCATGTTTGCATATATTGTACATTACTTAATGCATGTTTTCTATAAGCATGACTTGATTTTTTCTAGTAGGGATGTTAGAGATTTATTTACCATCTAGGACAATGTTGTGAAAAATTACAATGATATAATGCATGTTTACATAATGATCCAGTAAGGGAATGGAGAGTTGGCCGCTATGTGGAAAGCACAAGGTTTAGTCACTAAGATCTTTAATTAATATTTTTAGCTTTTTATCTATATCTAGAAAAATTCTTGTAAACTTTAGTAGGACTTCTTTAAATAAAGCATTTGAAAAGTTAAGTAGGTTACAATTCAAACTGTACTAACATGTGCTGTAGTGGTTATGGTGCTTGGAGTGTTACTTTAAGGCTATCTAAAGATAAGTAAATTTATACAATACAAATAAAAAACACATTTTGATATAAAATTCTTACAAACTTCACAACTTTCACTTATTTGTAAGACTAGTTTCCTATTATCAGTTTATGATAACCTTTTCATGTGCCATAATTTAAAAGCTTGCCTTTAACACATGCCACCTGCATTGGATTCTAGAGTCCGTGGCTCGTTTATCAATTGATCTGGGCAAGGTGACTAGAAATCCAGTCTGCCAGAAGGCCACATTTATTAGGTAGTGCACCCATGGATTTGATTTATTTATATTTTTTTTTTTTGCAAAAAAAAATAAAAAATATCATAATGGTCATAATGAACTACAATGATTGGGATCCAGTGATAAACATCAGATAAATCACAAGATAAATGATAATGTTTATCATCAACCAGACAATGAGCGATTCCAAATGGTCATGTGAATACAGTTTGTGTACACCCAGGAAGTGTCCTAGAAATGCTGTGGAGATGTTTAGTACGCTGAGATAGAAGGGAGGCCATACATTGTGCTGACATGTTACATTTTATGTTGAATGTAGTAACTGTATGTCACAGCTTAGAATGTAAGCTTCTTTGAGCAGGACCATCAGCACTTTCTGCTCTTGTAAATCCAACTTGTCTTGTTGCAGCAAAATATTTGTTAGTCCATCTATTATACAGCGCTGTTAAATATGTTGGTGCTTCATAAATAATATCTGGAGAATGGAGAAAGGATGATATAGGAGGTTACCTATGAGCAGACCTGCGATTTAGTTTGGCTGCACATACAAAAAAATATTAGGATTTGTTTTTATATTTTCTATTCCCTACATAAAGGACTGTCTACAATTTTAAATATTTTGCATTAAAAGTTATGTTTAAAGCTAATCTAGCTCAACACGTGAGTTTTGGATATAATTATGGTATTAAAGGGCGCCTGTCCGTCATTCTCTTCGTCTGTATATTGTGCAGCTCACAGAGACCTTCTGAGTTCCGGGATCAGAGTGGAGAAAAGAAGTCCAGCATAGAATGCTGGTGTAGCAATTGTCAACAAGTTGTGGTGGTATGGGAGCTAATTCTGCTCTGAACTACTAGAATAATGAGCTGCAGAGCATCTGGGCCCCTGGCAATACGTAACATCATGACATTGTCAAACACATGACATTGGCAACTGTATCCATCTCATGATCACAGCTATTTCTATCACCGCAGAGTCAATGTGCGAGGAAAAATATCCCTAAATCACGCTTTGCTGGATTATAAGCAGCAAGATGCTATATTGTTCTTCTGATAAAATATTTTATATATAAATAAAGCTAACAAGATGTACAAAGGCAATGTTAGTCTGGTACGCACTGTATTCCAGATCCCATCTAAATATCCCCACCATATTTAAATTCTGCAGTCTCCATTTTATAGGTTATCCCATGAAAGTATTGAGATTAAAATTGTGTGTTTAAAATATAAAGAATCTCTTAGATACGAAAGCAATTTAGCGGTATATACGTTTACAAAAATATCTAGATATGTGTATGGCGTTCCTCCAAGATTTACTGGACTTCAATTACCATGGCTGGCTGAGAATGGTAGGAGTTGCAGTAAACAGGGATTCCAGTGTCAATGAAAGTCAGCAGGTCCACCACTGAACCACTAGGGTTCTAAGAACACAGGATTATAGCATGGAATAATAATACACTGGTATATCCTATACGGTAATGATTTGTGGAAAAAGGTTCTGTAATGATGCTGCAATCATATTAATTCAACTGCATAACAGTATTACTAGGGTCATGCTCATTGTTGGTTAAAGTAAAGATACATTTTAGATTTATAACACTGATCGACTTGTCTCCCAACAATGAACATATCTCTCTTGGAGTACTTTCGACTGTTTTTTTTTTTACTTTTTTTTTAAACTTTTTTTTTATTTTTTTTACTCAAAATTAGTCAATCTTCTTTTCTCATATTCTCTGTAACAAAGTGAATAATGCTGGGAGACGTAACAAAGATAATAATACAAAAGGAGTGAAAGGTTAAAGTGATGACATGAGAAGAGACAGAATAAAAAGAAAATAATGAGAACGCTAATGGAGAAATTGATAAACTGTGTCAGTCTGACTCAGGCAAGAGCAGGGAGTCAAATGAGGAGACTCCGGAGAAATATTCGGCAATCAGAGAAAATATTGTGGCGCCGACGGAAGACACTACTCAGAAATAGCCCAATATGAATACTAAACATTTTATCTAAATTATTGTACAAGCATTGCTTGATTGGGCATAGCGTTAACTCTTTTATGTTAAAGGAAGTTGAATATTTTTTAAATTCGGTTATATGTATCTTGGGATGGGGCTAGATTAATAATGACACAATGCATTGGAGAACTCTACGAACAATGTAGCATTATGACATTATTATACATAGTACACATGATGCATGGCATTGCTTTCTAGATAAGGTAGTGTAAGCAAATCCATTAGCGAAATACAAGAATCGAGTATATAGGCGAACTGGAACTTGTGCCTCAAAAATCCAAGGAGAGTATGAATAAGAAAAGCAGACATCAGGAAACAATCCAGTCGTGTAATACAGTCAGATACGTAAATGGGAAAACAACAACTTTTCTTGAGGTATAAGCTGGATATCAAAAAACAGCAGAAAATAGAACACAATTCAAGAATCATTGGAATCATCAGAATGAAGAGTGAATTATTGATTGGACATAAGAGAAACTTTGGTCATGGGCCAGCTGATAGAATTGGTCCATTTCCAGACATAGTTGTGTAGTGTGTGTTCTGGTGAGCAGGTGGTGCATGACAGAAGAGGATCTGATGTCAATTTATACCCGTGCCTCACACACCACCTTTAAATCTAAGAGAAAAAAGTATTTTCCTGCTATGCCTATATTACGATGCCTTATGGCCACAATATAGCCAGAGTAGATAGGGGGAGAGGGAGGCAAAGCACTGAGTACTAGTACATTAGCAGAGGAAAAAGAGGAAAAAAACATAAAATGTTTGCCGACTTTCATAGTTTCCGTGGACATGTTTTGGCTTTTTTGGATGGTCGTCTTTGGAAAGGTCGTTTTAGCATGTGTAAGAAAATATGGAGACTGAAGTGGTAATGTCCAGCCAGTCCAGACAGGGTCCTACATATTCAACATGTATTTGCCAGCATCTGCCTAACCCTAATCCACAAACCTAGGTATTTTCAAGGAAGGTATAAGTACCGGTCTTTAAAGTGGCCAGGCTAGCACTGAGATTATAGTCAGAAAGTCTGCAAGCAGACACAGAATAAATGTTAACAATCAGGGATTACAGAGGTACACAGAAATGAGAAACAAGCCACGATCTGGGTTACAGAGATCAAGAATGGTCAGACAAGCCAAGGTCAGAAAAAGGAATAAGTAATACACTCTCAGATAAACATAAACCACGACAGGGCAAGTAAACAAGGAAAACCAGGAAGTATATAAACCCTGTACTGGTTTGTGATTGGTTACAGAAGGCCATCAGGTCATAAGTGTGAGAAAGAGCCACAACGAGCCACATTATAATAGGAGACCAATGGGAGGGTTCCCAGTCATATATGATGTCACAATGAGGCACCAGGAAGCTAGGGAGGAGTGGGTATGCATCAGAACACAGAAGAGACATCACTTTTGTGATCGCACAGCGACGAGAAGAACATGTATTGGGACAGTGTTACTAAAAATGAAACAGTGATTAATACTCATCATTTATGCTGGTCCGCAAGATCCGTACAACTGGGTTTGATGATGTGGTAAGAGAGCAGATGACACATCATCAGAGATAGTGGGTAACAGATAGTGGATAATATATCGATAAGTCTTTCATTCTTGTAATTACGGAGGAAGTCAAGCAACACATTCCCTTCTCATCCTTCATGCCACCTCCTCATGTGATAATGCCACATTACCTCTAACAGCTTAACTCTATATATATTGGTCAAAATTTCCTTTAGAGCCAGAAAGTAATGCAAATCAATATGGGGTTGGTAAAGATTGGTGTACCTTCTCATTTGCTAAAGAAAGAAAATGGATATCTCCATCATGTTAAGGTGAGTTCCTCAGTAAGATGCAGACTGAGAATGCAGGCCACCTACCCGGACTATTACTGTAAAGCAGGTTTTATGGCCCACTATACAGGACCACTTTCTATCAGCCAAGGAGAGGGGGGTTTATGGAAGAAGGGAACTGATAAAAACACAGAGCTTTTTCTACAGGCTACAACAGCAACATGAAATGTCCTGTATGGTAGAGATGCTTAGTTTTAGTCAGGCAATTGTACTTACTGTAGGTGGGCATTATGCCCCTAATTTATTAAATTAAAACTGAGCAGACTGGCATCATTTTCTTTTATAGGTATCTCAACACAGTAATATACACACAAACTTGCTGTTATATCCCAAGTTAATATGCTAGCTATCCATGGCACAGTCTATATAAATTGAACACTATTTAAAAAACAATTACCATATATACTCAAGTATAAGCCGAGTTTTTCGGCACATTTTTTGTGCTGAAAAAGCTCCACTCGGCTTATATTCGAGTCAAGGTCTGTATTATGGCAACTTACATTGCCATAATACAGACCAGGGCCGCCGGGCTCATTACAAGCCCGGCGGTCCTGTTGGGGGCCGAGAGCAAGCTATTACTTACCTTTACAGCAGCTCCTGTCAGCTCCCTTCACCTGCGTTCCGGTCAGCTCACACTGTAAATCTCGCAAGAGCCGCGGCGTCGCATACCGCGAGATTTACAGTGTGAGCTGACCGGAACGCAGGAGAAGGGAGCTGATAGGGGCTGCTGTAAAGGTAAGTAACAGCTCACTCCCAGCCCCGCTCCTGCACAGCCCATCCACTGGACCACCAGGGAATGAGAGCCCCCCTCCCTGGCCATGTATCAAGCAGGGAGGAGGGACAAAAAAAATATTTATAAATGATATTAGAGAGATTGAATAAAGATCAGGAAAAAGATTCAGCGCTGATAGGAAACAGGGAGTATAACAACAAGGCAGCACACCTTAAAAAGGGGAATCCCCTCTGAACCCCTTAAAATACAATGGAGGAAAAAAGAAAGAATAAGGATGCGCCTAAAACAAGTGGAAATAGCAAAATAATAATGTGGGAATAGCAGCAGTAGCAAAAAGTCCAAAAAAGTGTCCAAATATAATATAAGAATGGGATAATCACGGTACCTAATAGTCTAAATATAAAATGTCCAAATGTGCAAATGGTGGTCCTAGTAGTCCATCAGAATATGGATATTGTGTAAATATTTGTGGAACTACTCACAATATTCAGAGCTTAAATCCAGCTCTGGTATGGATAGCGTGAAGTGGAATAATCCCCACTCAAGGATATGTGGTGCTCCTCTTTGGTCCTTTGGTAAACAGATGGAGTCCAACTCGGGATAAAAATAATAAAAAATATAGTGCTCACTGTATAGTGGATAAAACGATAAAATGAAATAAAATATACTCACGATATATAGAGCAGACGTACTGCTCAGTGGATGGCGTATGGGTGGTATAATCCCCACCTTGAGGATTCTTCGGTAGTCCGATATGGTCAAAATCAATGGTAGTTAGGTCTGGATAAAATAAACTTGCATAGAATAAAATAGCAAATAATATAAAAGTGAAAAGAGGAATGTGGCAAACCAGTGTAAAATAGCCAGATATTCCTTTAATGTATACAGAAAAAGGATAGGGGGCACTCCCAACTCTTGGGAGTGCCCCCTATCCTTTTTCTGTATACATTATATTTGGAATCCAGACCAGATTCCTTAGGGGTTCCTAAGATTTAGATTCCTAAGCACCCCGCCCAGGCCCCCCAACTTCAGAGGCTCCTTTAGAGGTGGCCACAGGTGTGTATATATAGGAGGAGTTTCTCAGTAGTCTAGTCACTTTTATTATTTTCTCTAGTCAGCACAGATATCATCTGCTATAGTGAGTATACTCTTTTTAGCACTAACACATTATTTGTTTAGTTTTAACACTGTTTTTAATTGCTTTCATCACTCATTTTTGTATACTCACTATGCTCTTATCAGGATTTAATTTAACACTTGTAATTTTCAACACTAGTACTATTTAATTTGTTCCCCCACATTTTTAGCGTAGGACCCACCAATATTGGGGTACTTTGAAAGTAGTGGTGGGCTTAACAACATATGGCCATATGGTGGAACTAAATCCCCATATTTATTCTCAGATAGGCATTTTAGTAGCCTTCTTTGTATTATATATTGTTTTGTAGTCTGAGTGCGCTGCAACTATTTATTGTTTTAGATATTCCTTTAATGACACTTTGATTATTAAAAGAGAAAAAAAAATTATATATAGAAAGAGATGGTGTAAGAAGGGCAGGAGCAATTGCTCCCCACCCACTAGTACACAAAGTATGTGGTTAGTAGGCGCAGATCACCATTTTTGTGGGAGGTGTGCTTGTAATGTCTTTTGACAGAGTGCCACAGGAATACGTCAGTATGCAAAATGTGTACAGGACCATTGCTAGCCCAGCACTGTATAGCTTGGTGTATGGACTGGTGGCAAATAATCTAAATACTGTCCATGGCTGGAATTCCCTTTGGGATATTTCCCTGCAATAACTGGAACCCACAAGATTTCCAGTTTAAAAGGAATGTGATGTAGAGGTGTTTGGCAGAGCTTGTTGGAGAGTTGAGACATTAGTCAAAATGAAACCATGGGGAACCAGGTTCATCCCTTAGGGCTTAGGCTTTCACCCCCCTCCCCCACCATGACTGTCCAAAAGTTTTCAGCCCACCCCGAGACAGAGTGACAGGAGAGATCTGTGCAGGAAAACAATGCGAGGAATAGACCTATGCATTTGAAGGCTGTTTTTGTTTTAGCACAGCTTGGCAACTTTCTTGTATCCCACCAATTAAATTCTCGTAATCATACAATTAAATAATAATATTAAAATAAAATATTAAAATAATATTAAAATAAAAAAATCAAAATAATAAAAATGTCCTCCCCCCACCCAGTTTACACACACTACACAAACACACACACTCTGCATTACATACACACACACTGCATTCACACAAACACACATTCTGCATTCATTATATACACACACTACACACAAACACACTGTATTCATTATATACACACACTACACAAACACACACACAAACTGTAAATAAATATTAAATTAATATAATTTTATTGGGATCTAATTTTATTTAGAAATGTACCAGTAGCTGCTGCATTTCCCACCCTAGGTCTTTACTCGAGCCAATAAGTTTTCCCAGTTTCTTGTGGTAAGATTAGGGGCCTCGGCTTATATTCGGGTCGACTTATACTCGAGTATATACGGTATATCGTTTACGAACAAGCAACAGTTATGACTGGTGCTTTCATGTGAAATGGGCAAATTAAATGGAGATAGTATTTATCATCGAAAGCAACCTCTCTTTCCTTAATGCTATAAATCATGTAACTACTGAACTTTTGTATATTTATTTCAACTTTCTTTATTCTTTTATTTTGCCTATTCAGCAAGATCTGTTATTCTATAGAAACAGTTATTGATTTCACTTTCTTTACAATGACGAAACACGTCACATATTTTTCCTATCTACATTTTTTTGTTGTTGAATTACAAACCATCATGAGTTCTTGAGTTAAATTATTGTAAGCACTTATTTGCTTATTACATTGTTTAATTGTCACTAGTTCCAGAAAGGGGCCATTATAAGGTGCATCATGGAAATAGCGGTATGTGGATTTCTTGTCTCTCAGCCCCTTAAAGATTCAGACTAGAGAGGTAAGAACAAAGAAAAGGCACATTTCTTTAATCCTCTATTGATGTCATGAGTAAATTGATACTTGGTGAATACATCTCAGGGTATGGTGTATTAACATTCCACCTCACACGTAAAGTTACTACGCTAAGTGATCAACAGAGAGGATTCATCATACAGCAAATTGATTTAAGACGGTAATCCCATAAAAGAACTTTGTTAATGTTTAAACATTAGACATTAAGGTCAACATACCAGAAGTCCTTTAGGTAAGCTGTGTTCATTCCCTGTAAGTCTTCCACTCCTTTCTGCAAATATTCTTTTTCCTAAAACCGTCGACACCAAGCGTTAATCAGTATATGTGAATTGCGACATTTTACAGGAGACAATTATACAACTCTCCAAATGAAAGTCTTGAAAGGAAGGTCGGGTTTTTCTATATTATAATGGCACAAAAAAAACTCAGACGGGAACTAAGGCAGATATTACACACCACCTACTCGCAATACCAAATTATACCAGCAATGGGTGCTGTGATGGGTGATCACCTGACACTCTCAGCCAATCACAGCTGCCCATGGCTGCTCTGGCTAATGCTTCCTCATTCGCCCAAGCAGTACAGAGTTACTATTGGGGCTTTTTTATCCTTATTTTGCAATTCGGATTTAAATTTGTTACAATTTGGAGCTCAGTGAATAGCCCAGACTGTGTTTAAAGGATAAGCCCCTTTGATAGTGCGTCCTGCCTAGTTGACCCCTTTCATCCTGAGTGTCGGTTTCACTTTGCCACTTACTGCTGTTTCTTTCTGAAACTCCATTGTTTAACTTGCCGAGTAACCCTGTACATTTTCAAAGTATGTTTTAAGGGCGAACATGAAATGTACCTCAGGCCACATTGGATGACAGAATTTCAGGTCTTTTTCAAGTTCCCTCTTCCTCCATTCTTTCCAGAGTTTGGATTTGATCTTTGATTGATAGATCTCCTTAAACTCCTCCACAATCTGATACAATGTAAGACCCAGCGCTATAAAAATCACAATTATTCTCCAGCTGTCCTGTAAAAAAGAAGAGGAGATAATACAAAATCAAAAACAAACCAACACAAAATCAAAAGACACACCAACAAAAAAATCAAAAACAAACCCCAACAAAATCACAAGACCAAACACAAACCAACACAAAATCAAAATCAAACCCCCACAAAATCAAAAGACACACCAACAAAAAAATAAAAAACAATCCCCCACAAAATCAAAAGACAAACCAACGCAAAATCCCCAAAACAAACCAACACAAAATAAAAAACAAACCCCCACAAAAAATCACAAGACAAAACACAAACCAACACAAAATCACAAGACAAAACACAATCCAACACAAAAACAAACCCCCACAAAATCACAAGACAAAACACAATCCAACACAAAAACAAACCCCCACAAAATCACAAGACAAACCAACACAAAATCCCAAAACAAACCAACACAAAATCAAAAGACAAACCAACACAAAAACAAATCCCCACAAAATCACAAGACACACCAACAAAAAAATCAAAAACAATCCCCCACAAAATCAAAAGACATAACACAAACCAGCACAAAATCAAAAGACAAACCAACACAAAACCAGGAAAAAAAAAATCACAGAAGGATCCACCATACTGTGGTTTAATGGTTTAAAAGAATCCTTAGAAATTTTAATCTGGTATGAAGAAATGCTATTAAAGTATTTTTAATTTATATTGTATTTGCTGTTTCACAGGTGACTTAGATTAGCATTCACTAGATACAGCCAGATCTCATTGCACTATTCTACCATTTCTTATTCAGCTCCTTTTACCAGCCCAGTTTACAAGATGGCAGTGAATCCGCCATTGCTGCTACAATATGGAATTAGAGAAGGCCCAAGATTATCTAAGAAAGTGCTGATATTGCCTGGTTGTTGCAAAGCCACTCCATAGGCTCCAAGAACATGCGGAGGGGTTTACGTTATTTTTATGACTTATTTATTCATTTATTTTCTCGTTTATTACTCTTCTCATGCACATTATAATGCATTAAATAATGTATTTTAAAATCCCTTTAATTCCCTTTTAGTGCACAGCAATTCATGTATATTGATTATTACACCTAACTTCATTCATAATGCAGTAACACTTTTTCTTATTTTGTGAATTGTCTTCCAATTTCTACTGTGGACATTAAGTAACAATGTAATCACTGTGTCGGCGATAGAGTCCATTCTTTATGAGGAACCAATGGAATCAACCCAACTTTAGCCTGCTGTGTTAGAAAAGAAAGGTGCATTGGATTAGCCAAATGGAGTCAATCCAACACTAAATCTCTGCATCACAAGATATATATGAAAGCCCAATGAAGTCAATTTAACTCTAGATGGAGCATCATTACACGAGTGACTGAGACAATTTGCATTTCTCCCAAAATCCAAATAGATTCAGTGCAGCTTGCGGTCTACTTAATCATCTCCTTGGGCGAGAGAGGTAATTTGATAGGTTCCTAAGACTCAGTTGAGGTTTTTTAACTCTAGACTGCTACATCATTTGTATAGTGAGAGACGTAATTTGGGATGTTACCTAAGACCCAGTAGTGAAACTTTGACATATCCCTATAATATAAGATTACAGTATACCTCAGGAAACTTGTACGGCACTTCTTCAGTTCTTGGCAATGAAGATGCTATACCGAGTGCTGTCCAAGATAAGATGAACAGAAGGTTCAGAGATAACATTATTGCAATATTCTTCCTGCAATGAGATGAAATATTTGAGGTCGTACGGCTGATACAGCTGAGAGGAACATTTTGCCCACAGGCTGTATCAGTTAGGGAAATTAAAAATTCCAAATCTCACCTGCCAAAAGATATCCACTTTGTTTCAATTAATTTCTGAATAACTGGATGCATGATAATGTCCAACTGGCGTGACTGTACAATCACTTCAAGCTGAGCAGAAAAATTGGAAGAAAATAACATTTACTTAATTACTGATTTAATCTTAAATTGTTCTATGAAATGATCAAGTGTGGGCTAGCTGCATATTTTACATTTGAGGATAGATATTGATCTAGAAATCAATTTGGAGAGCAAATGGTAATCGGGCTACTCACTAATACGGTTTGGTCCGCAGGAACGAGTTGAAAACTATGGGTGCCAAGGTATACAATGTATAAGTCCAGTTTATTTGAACTGATTTACATAGCTCCTCTGTGCAATCTGTGATAAAAATAAACGGAAAGCTTCCAATCGCTTCTAAAACCCTTCAATGACCCAGTACAGGTTTCAACCATCAATATCTTGGCGCGCATTATATATCTTCATTTTTAATTAATTTATCCAAACTCGGATGGCCTTTTTGAACACACAGTATATTTTTGACTCAGCAATGGGCTTTTACAACCTGCTTTCCCTAAAAGCCATTTTTATCTAAGTCTTGCAGGCTGAATCTCCTGTGCTTTGATGTACTTAATCATTTATACAGAATGCAGCCTTGAAGCATGCCTAAATAGGTCATCCCCCAGTTCCCTACTGGCACAGGAGTGACCTGATTCCTCTCTTTTAGAAGATGCTAGTGAGAGACAAACATGAATCAACTAAGGGACTAAGACAACATCAGGAAAACAGGTGCAGGAATGTTTAATTATGGTTCCTTTCTGACTGTTTTACACTGATTAGAATGCTCGTCCTTTTTTCTAATGTATGTATTCTTACACCAAGCAAACGACATATGTAAGATATCATATAGGGGCTGAACCTCTTAAAGGAACACTCCAGGCTGGAATAGAACAAGGTTTTTAAATGCATTATAGAGGATAATTTATATACACACATAAAAAAAAGATCTTTGGAGGTCTTCTTTTTACTCAATACTAATTGCTTAGTTGTCAGTGCTGAGCATTCTCCATAATTCCCTGCTCAGCAGACGTTTGTATGTAACTCTGCACTTAGAAGACCTTCTGTTCATGAGAACATGACATGGAACTTATAGCCAAGCTGATTTAAGTTGCTTTTATGACCGAATAATACAAACAGGTCAGTCACAGAAAGCAGGCTGGAATTAGACTTATGCAGGTGTGAACAATTTATGTTCCTCCAAATTGATTTGGGTTGGATTTCTCGAATAAACTCGGGTGTGAAAATTTTGAACTTAACTTAAAATTATTAGGAAAACCCTAAAGTGAAGGAAAAAGTTGCCTACAGTTTCCCTTTAAAAAAAAAATGGTGTTCAGTGGCAATGGCTAAGAGCAGCAGGTTCCACAAATATAAAATCTGAATCAACCGAAACACACATCTATCGCACCATTGGGTTTATTCAGAATTTTGGATGAATAAATTTATTATTTCGGAACATCTTAAGGGCACCAATAAGCCGCAATTTGACTGCATTTCAATTTGAACTGAAACAAATGTCCAAGTCTAGTGGTAATTTCATTAATGTCTATAAACCCATACAAGTATTTATATTGCCAAGCAGATGTTTGTTATAAGGAACTGTGTGCATGGGTACAGAGAACATGGGACAGCGCATCATTATCTACACAAGAATCATAAGTTGTAATTGGGCTTTAAGTGTCCCTTTAAATGTATCTGTCAGTGTTTCTGTTTGTAGCAAAACCTTTACAAATAAATTTAAAAAATGACTTAAAAGCAGAATGCACAAATGCACAGAAAAATATTTCAATATTACAATTAAAAGCATTCAAAGAAAGTGTTAACCATATCCAATAACTTTCAAGGATAAAAAATGCCAAGTAGTATCCACTTTGGTAAATTATCAATTTAAGAACTTCACACCAGAAACATCAGTGTCCATCAAAAAAGAACTACCAAAAAGTAGAAATAATAAAGAAAAGGAAAATTATTAGTTAACCAAAACAAGACAAAAAGAAAAAGATAAAGTCAATGCATATCGAGACAAAAACAAAGACACAATATTATTTAAAAACAAACTACAAATTAGAGACCATGGCAAAATCAATTACAGATACAACAATAACAAGATACAGTTGGTGACGTCACGTTACTTTGTTCCCTTACTCCCTAGCCGGAACTAGAATCACCATCTATGGAGTTTCCATAGCAAACGTTGCGCATGTGCTGTCGTTGCTATGCTTGGGAGCAAAACTTTTAGCACAATGTATAGACAGAATATTATACTCTTTAAAAAGAGCATAAGGTAAAATAGGTCTACAGTTATCCTTTAATCTTTCTCAACAGCATACTAAAATCAGGAATTTGCTTTTTTCCACCTACAGGCAGGTCCGCCATCAGGGGGTGACAACCATGACAGTTGTCACGGGCCCGGCGGCCCTGGGGGGCCTGGCCTCCCGGGCCCCACGTGCATCAGCGGAACTGCCGCCGGTGCATCTGCACTGGGGCCCACACGCTTATGGGGCCCATCAGGTGGCCCAAGCATTTAGGGCCACCCAGTAGGCCCTATTATCTTCAGGGGCCCGGTCAGCGCTGTAATAGCGCGACCGGGCCCCTTTAAAAAAAAAAAATGCAGCCGGAAAGCAAGTTCTGCTGGGAAGAAGTGACGTCCGGTCACATCCTCCCAGTTTACTCCGTGCGGGAAGGAGGAGAGAAAGGCCGCGATGAGAGGCAACCGACTCACATCATCCCCAGCCACCCTCCTGCGACAAAATGGTAAGGAAAAGGAGGGTGGCTGAAAATGAGGTGTGTGTGTATGTATGTATGCCAGTGTGTGTATCTATGTATGTATGCCAGTGTGTGCATGTATGTATGCCAGTGTGTGTATCTATGTATGTATGCCAGTGTGTGCATGTATGTATGCCAGTGTGTGTATCTATGTATGTATGCCAGTGTGTGTGTGTGTGTATGTATGTATGCCAGTGTATATATGTATGTATGCCAGTGTATATATGTATGTATGCCAGTGTATATATGTATGTATGTATGCCAGTGTGTGTATGTATGTATGTCAGTGTATGTGTGTATGTATGCCAGTGTGTGTATGCCAGTGTATGTATGTATATATGTATGCCAGTGTATGTGTGTATGTATGTATGCCAGTGTATGTGTGTATGTATGCTAGTGTATGTGTGTATGCATGTATGCCAGTGTATGTATGTATGTATGTATGTATGCCAGTGTATGTATGTATGCCAGTGTGTATATGTATGTATGTATGCATGTATGCCAGTGTATGTGTGTATGTATGCTAGTGTATGTATGTATGCCAGTGTATATATGTATGTATGCTAGTGTATGTGTGTATGCCAGTGTATGTGTGTATGTATGTATGCCAGTGTATGTATGTATGTATGTATGTATGTATGTCAATGTGTGTATGTATGCCAGTGTATGTGTGTATGCCAGTGTATATAGGTGTGTATGTATGTATGTATACCAGTGTATGTATGCATGCCAGTGTGTGTGTGTGTGTGTGTGTGTATGTATGCCAGTGTGTGTATTTGTGTGTGTATTACATACCCTTATGTATGTCTTGGGGCCCAGACCTTGAGCTGTGTTAGGGGCCCCAAAATTTCTGATGGCGGCCCTGCCTACAGGTAACAGAATGTTTAGAGGCGTTACAAATTTTGTGGCTTAATCTGTTAAGTGATTTTGATCAAGTACCCAAGTATCTACAATTATGTCTTTTAGAAATCTTGAGTGTATAATATGCTACTATATCAAAATTGTGTAATTTAGAACTTACAGGAGATCTGGCTTGTGTGCCGTGAAAACCTATTTTGAAAAACAAAAAATGTAAAATATTAGATATATGAAATGTTCTTACGATGTGGTAACAGTAGTGGCTATTTGAGCAGAAAAATGTTTAAATACAAATTACACTATATGACAGGCTGACAAACAAGTAATAATTTGAAATCGCAGTTTAAATAACAGTGCATTTCGATGGTTAGCATACTACAAGCAAAATCTAAAATATCTAAACTGTGGGATCTATTCCTGAAACAGGGAGTTGAGAAATGACTTGCAGAACTGAAACTGAAGATTTTCTTTTAAGAACGCAATGTAAATATATAATTTTATAAACATATAAATTTATTTTTAATTTTAAGTCAGTTTTCATCTTGCAAGATCTTGCTGTGCAGTTACTAGTGCTCTTTTATCACCATATTTTTCTTTAGTAAATTGTGTAAAGAGACGGCCTTTGGTTTAATCTGTTTATTTTTCTATAGTGATGAGTGACTTGACCTTTCTAAGAAAATCTTCTTAAACGTATCATCTGGACATAATTCAGAGACATTGCAAAGTTAAAGCATACGATGACCAAAGAACTAGGGAACTCCAGGAAAAATAGACAGCCACCACCAGCACTAACACCGTGATAAGACAAATGTGTATGTTTGCAGATAGCAAAGCATTCACGGGTTTCCTTCATCTGTGAATCGGATGGATATTTGTACAGGGGGATCAGGAGATTCCTCAGACTGTTTAATGACTAACAGCATCTGTAAACAGGGGGGAATACAACTATATGAGCTATACAACAAAACTGCTTTATTAAGCTAAAGTTGTTTTAGTGACTATAGTGACCCTTTAAGTGTACAAGGAACATTCCAGGCACTTTAGATCTTTCACTCTAGCTAGCCATATGTACTAATCATATTCCATAGCTAATTCTATAGTAACACTGCAAGTAAACATGTTGTCTATTAGCTGCCACTGAAACTAAACACATGAGCCTTTACCCTTTATATATTTTCTAGGACCTAGGGAGTGCTCAACAATGGGATGGAAAAGGAAAATTATTTGCATCCAGTACATCTATGAGGTTCCTGTTAAAACATTTCTGTTTCATAAAGAGAATCTATGTTGTTTTCAGAATTTTGTGCAATCAAAAAAAGTTGTTGTAAAAAAAAAAAAAAAGAATTTCTTTAGGGGGGCCTAAATACCAATAAGGGGGGGGACCTATTGTCCTCCCCCACGGCCCCCACCCCCAAGCGGCGGCTGAGGGCCCTAAATACCAATAAAGGGGGGACCTTTTGTACTCCCCCGGCCCCCACCCCTGAGTGGCCCCCACCCCTGAGCGGTGGGTGGGGGCTCTAAATAAAAATGGGGGTGGGCCTATTGTCTTCCCTGACCCCCACCCACGAGCGGCGGGTGGGTGCCCTAAATGAAAATGTTAACCCCCCCCCAGGTGACTAGGGTTCCCCAAGCCCCTAGTCACCCCCCACCCAAAAACCCTTACCTACCCCCCTCAACCTAAAAATAGTGAGCGGGGAAAGAGAGAACTAAATACCTGTAAGGTATTACTGAGTAGCAAGTCTCTAAATTTACCTGTCACAGCACTCTGATTGGTTGGGGTGGAGGGCGTGATTGCATGCTAAGGAGTGGGAGGGCAAGATTCAGGGGCCCAAGTAAATTCTTGCCCAGGGTCCAATCAATATTAAAGACAACCCTGGGTCAGAGTAGCCTATGTATCAGAGGGAGTGCTTGGAAATTGGCTACTCAGTAAGCAATGCACCCAACATGTTAATATTCTGCATAAAAATATAGAGAAAACTAAGCTGTAGTGGAATATTCAAGAGGAGATAGCAGAAAGACATGTGGCAATGTGGAACAATAGACAGGATGATCAGGAAAGAATATCTGCGCATCAACAAAATATTATTTTTATTGGACACCGACCGCCAAGACAAGTCATACAGAAGAAGAAGAAGAGTATATGGCAAGGACTGATCCTTGCAGGATTCTAAGAATGAAAAAGAATGTGGAATTAACAGAAAAAGCACCTCACCAAATAACACCACCACAAGTCACAACCACTGTCCCTCTAACCACAACCGTTGCTACAAACTTCAAGATTTTATGAATTTCTCCTTTCCAACACCCAGTATATGATAGCTAGTTGCAACAAGTGGAATCAGTGAGAAACTAAAACAGTGATCTGGAATCCTTTTGAAGACACGAGGACCACAAATATGCCTTCCTATGTGGACTAACACAGTTTCAGATGGGCACTCTACATCAATATAGTTACAATAACAAGGCCAACCTGAGGTTTGTGGCTCCACGTGGTTTAGAAAATAATGCTGTTTCCTGTTTGCTCGATCTTTAACATGGAACTGATCCAGAGCAAGAAAAGCCTATAACAAATAAAGGAAGAATGAAAAGTTAGAACATGTCAGAACATTTTGACCCTTACTGAACAGACATCTCCATAATTAATCACAGTGTTTCTAACATTGCAAAAACATTAACCCGTGCATTAATTTTTAACGTAAAACCTATGTCAGATAAGTCCATGTTCCATAAGCAGTATTCAGTTACTATATTGCTTATTGTGATGTATACTACACATTAACACACCATGCTTCAAATTAGATATGTTTTCTAAAATACCACAAAATGTTATGTCTTTGGTAGTGAAGATTGACATCTGAAATGGGTTATAGGTCTCAAAGTCCACTGAGGAAAATTTGGGGGGCAAAGATGTCACCCTGAACTGTTAGTGCCAAAGAGATACGTATTTTTTATTTACTTACAGCTGCAGCGCTACTTACCTCACTAAACACTAATGGTAAAATGTTTATTGAGGTGACGGAACATTTAATGCTTTAATGATTGTTACCCTGGTAAAGGGCAGAATAACTGTATTATTATATAAATACACTGTCTCTAACTTACTGCACATACTCATTTTGTAATGTTCTGTTTTCCATGAAAAATATATATATTTTTAATGACCTTGGGGGAAACACAACGTGCAAGGTCTTAATATTCTCTGTGAGGTCGTAATAAGGAGCAGGATGTAATTTTTTTAATACATGAATAGCGTAGGTAGATAATTTGCCTTTGCATGCCTATAAAACGTAATGTAGATTAATGTGCAGTTTCTATCTCCTCTAAGTAGGTACAGACACGCACTACATGCATATTAAATGGGAAAAATAAAATGAGTTCATGTTGGAATTTATAAATGAAAAACAAATGTGCAGATTTGCATCTTTCCGCTCATTTGCTGTAGTTGGTGAATAGGTGCACACATACACATTTGAAGGTTTAACACAACTTTTCAATGTTTTATTCAGTTACGTAATTTCTAGAAGTAATTCCACCTCCCCCACCCTCCCCCCAATACCTTGTTGATTTAAAATCATTGCAGGGGATAAACTACTTATCCAAAAACCACTGGAGATGGTAGATTTATGGGATAAGATCATAGTCCATTGACGCAAATGAGAGCCTCCTGACTGGTGGTATCTCGTTATGGTGGCACATGGTTGGGGTAGCAGATAGCTTTTATGAGCCGTACAGGACTAGGATCTCAGAATGCAGTTTTATTATCTATTATCTGTTATTTGTTAGTATATTATCTATGTAATACATACAAATATTTAGTTGTTTTAAACCATTGATTTAATTCCTTGAGTTACGATAGCTACATATTATCAGACTTACAACTGGTGGCATATTCACAACCATCAGAGTCAGACAGGACTGGCCCGTGTCATCCTGGACGCTTGCATCACATTTGAAATTTAAGAGCAATCGAGCTGCCTCACTGCGATCTAGTAAAAATAATTTAATGTAAAAGATTCATTCTAACACTTCAGTCATGTACTATACAGGGCATTTTAGTTATTTACTCCTTATTTTCAATCGACTGCAGACCCATGGTTTGGCCAAATGCATCAAATAACGTAATGAGGAATCCACGTTGTCCCTAATCAGGGAATTGGACTGTTCTGCATTAGAAACATCAATAACGTGACCTTCTTCTATTGCTGTCAGTAAACTAACTGACTTTAAACCCCAAGGATCAGTAGAGAAAATGTGATCTTCAGCACTAAATTAGACTCTGTATTGTGATCTATTAGGCCAGTTTTTTTGTTGTTGCAAAAACTGAATATTTAAGGATATAATTGAACATCAATTGGTTATTGATCCACAGAGAAATATGATTGTCATTATGGAGTCAAAAAATAATTGGTTTTCTTTATGTATCATAATTGGAAATCACTACAATTGGAGCTTTTTGCCTTTTTTTAACTCCTTAAGGACACATGACATGTGTCATGTCAGGATTCCCTTTTATTCCAGAAGTTTGGTCCTTAAGGGGTTAAAGGAATGTTTTAATGAAAAGTTGAACTAAGTGAACGTTAGTCTTTTTTTTAACCTAGGATACTAAGTAATTATGTTAGTGGATTGGTATTGCTAGATCACAGCCTGAAAGAGGCCATAGATACACTGGGAGCTATAGTTAAAGAGAAAGTATGTGGCTAAATCACCATGGAAGCATGGGATTCAATCGCCATGGAAACAACTAAGAAACTCCTCTGTTAGTATTTTGCCCAATAACCTGTCTTTATGTAACAGCCTGGAGGTTAAGGGGTTACCCAGCAGGGATCAAAATGTGTGCTTACATGCACAATGTATTGATCATTTTCCACCGTACATACAATGAAATCAATCATTAGAAATATCTTACTCATTGACAAAGTCTTTCACATGTTATGCTGTGCTGATTAACAGTTGTTTTATTTGTGTGTGTGTATCAGATAGCCGGTAACACTATTTATAGCATCTCTCCTGAGTAAACCAGTTTCCATTGAGATTCAGATATTAATGGAATAAAGTGTACAGAGGGTTTTACCTAGTTCTGCAGCCAGGTGTAAGGGTGTTCGTTGCTTGTAATCTCGCACATTGGTGTCAGCTTCATTTTTCAACAGGACTTTCAGAGAGTTAACTGCATCGTATTTAGCTGCGTAATGCAATGGAGTCTGCTTTGTATTCGTAGTCATATGTATGTCAGCTAGAAAGAGGGTAAATAAAGTTATCTAATTTATAGATACATTGACAGATGGATGTGACGTGTTATTATTTATCATCCATGTGGTTATGATTAGTATGTAAAACCTCAATTGTAATGAAACCACTGCCCACATAGTCTGCCTATTATGGAAACGTGAAATGCTGTGAAAATCTACTGCCAGTTTAGAATCATTGGCTTTGCTTCCTGATTCCAGATTATTTAAAGGGTCACCCCAGACCCCTAAAGCACTACAGCTTGCTGGAAGCGTTATATGTGAAGAGTGTGTTCTCCTTTTTCATTTGGCAAAAAGTGCAGATTTCAATCGAAATTGACACGTTTATAAATAATACTGGTTACACCCCCCTGGCTTTTAAAGCAGGCAACAGGTCCTGTTACTTCCTGGTTTGGTTAGCTTTGTTACACTGACCTCGATAGGCAGCAATTGCTCATAGCACCTGCCTTGCAAAGACTTCTCAGTAAGCTGCATTGGGATTGGACAGAAAAATAAAATCTGAGCCGGGATTAGAAGGTGAGGGCTTGCAAAGGCTGAAGACAAGAGATCTGCAGCTTTGCAAACTGTTTTTAGATAAAACTCCAATGAAAAAATGCATAATTAAAGGCACGCACATTTTCATTTGTGGTATATCTACTAAATAGTGATTATTTATAGTGATATCTATTTTGTATTTGGGCAGTGGATTGTCCCTTTAACCCCTTAAGGACCAAACTTCTGGAATAAAAGGGAATCATGATATGTCACACATGTCATGTGTCCTTAAGGGGTTAAAGGTGTATCCCTGCTGTGTAACTTAATTGATGGCAGATCTTAACCTGAACCCAGCCAACAGTCAATCTTTACATACTTTTGTATTGAATTGCAAGACAAAAGGATGAGGGCTTCTGTAATGACTTATAATAAGAAGATAAAATAGTCCCTACATTTGTGCAACAATAATATTAAAACAAAGTGTTTAGAATAAAATAGATTAAAATAAGAGAAAAATAAATTATACTATTATGCCTACATTCTGGTGCTTAGCGAATGAGCCCTGACTATGACCAGTGTTCACTAAGTTATGGTTAGGGTTGTCACTGTAGGTGAAAGTTGTTAATCTACCCCAGGTACGGACATGCTCAATGTAGAAGGACAATTGTTTCTATAGGACGTCTACTTTAGAAAGGGGGGTGGCTCCCAGGATAAATTTGTGCTGCATAGTGTTTAATGATAATCAAAAAAAAAAAAGGTAAGCAAGCAATTGGGATAATTTCAAGAGGGACTATATACAATGCAATACAATACACTTTGGGAAGGTACATTAATTGAAACAGAACATATAGGTTGCAAATGCTATAATGCACTCCTTAAACCGGTAGACACAATGTAACTCTATATCTTAAGGATGCACACCAATTACACAGTACTGTCTAATTACTGTGTATCCTTAAGATAGAGAGTTAAAAAGGAAGGATAACATCCTATTAAAAAAAAAAAAAAAAAAACTTTTTTCTTCTATTTGTACTATGAAATGTAGGGTTTTGTAAAGACTTGTTACTCACAGTTAAGTCACTTACCCCCATGTTTTAATAAGAAAATGACCATTTCTGGGTAATCCACAGCAGCTGCTACATGCAATGGGGTAATCCCGTACTTGTCAGGCTTTTTAATATCAGCGTTTCTTTCAATCAAAAACTGTGCAACATCTGTGTGCCAACTTTTAGCTACCTGTTTGAGACAAAACATTGCAGTTATTACTACATTTCATATTTGTAGCCTTATGTTCGACCACGGCGCCTGATCTTGGCTATCCGGCTACTTATTTGAACTACAATTCCCAATCAACTGTCAATCAACTATTAGGGAAAAATATGGTTTTACCTCATGCATCACTGTTTGGCCAAATCTGTCCCCCTCATTTACATCAGACCCATCTTTGATCAACGTATCGATGAGATGAAAATTAATCTGAAATTGAGCAAATATAGGAATTTTGGTTAAACTTTGCATTTTATTTTACCCATGTTATTCTTCAGAACCGGTTCTAGACTACGAAAGTTCACTTTAGCGCCATGAGAGTTGGGGTGTATTTTCATAATTCTGTGCCATCTCTTCATTGGCTCTAAAAATCACTACTGGGAATTAAATTATAAAATGAAAAAAGAACTAAAACGGTAATTCCAGAATATAAGCCTAAATATATAATTTAAAAATATTTTCCACGTTAGAGCAATATTGGTCTAAATTTATACAATTCCCTTGCCAATTCTCCAATGTTCCCAGTTTAGTCGATAAATGATAGTAATGTCCTATAGTATTTTAATTGTCTGAAGGCAGATTTTATGGGCCAGAAGTCCAAAACCTGACAGATCAATTGAGTTTTGACACAATCGAAAATTATATATCTTTAAAAAAAATTAGAAATGTACAGACGAGGGCTGAATAGAGATTAAAAAATCTAACTCTAGCAGATGGCTGACTTATTTAAGGAAATACCGTGATCAAGAATACAGATTATTATTCATTGTTGGATCAAGATTAAGGAAAGCGGCACTTCCTATTGGAATTCCTGGACTCCAGATAAATGATCCTCCCGGTGCAAATTGTTTAATTTAGCATTTAGTTTTATCTGTGATGGAGGATGAATGTACTGTGAAGAAAAATATATAGCAGCAGGCCCTGTTTAGATGTAATTTAAAGTAATAATGACTGTTGGTGCGGTGGTCACGGTCCCAACTGGTTGGTGTAAATTAACTCTTTCTGAGAGATTTGCAGTGCACTGGACAGCCAGCATTATAGGACAAGCTGATAGAGTATGTACAGCTGCCCACCTCAGGGGGGAGGGGGAAGGGGGCTATGAAAGCTGCATGTGTCAAAAAAGCTGCCTTCCCCCCTTAAAGTGCCGCCCAAGGCAAATGCCTTGTTAGCCGCGCACTAAATACAGCCCTGTGTACATGGGATTGAAAAGGAAGAATTAACTAAGTAGGATGTGTGATAGTTTGGCCTACTATACCTACTCACCAACTCTAAATATCAGTGTAAGGGGAATGACCTGTTCTATTAGTGATCATTCAAAGAAAAATGAATTATGGGCAAAAGATACCAGACTGTTAAGGCTAGACACCACAACATGCAAACTGCAGAGCTACGAGTATCCTATATTTAATGAACAAATATTACCAGTCCCTCATGGCGGCCTGGCTTAACGTGCAAAGTATAGAATACAATCTGCAGACATAACAGATGAGTAAACAGCGACAAGCCGTGTTTAAGGAGTACAGAGTAGCTGAAAATCAAGGAAACAGAGCCAAGGTCCAGAGGTCAGTGTAGTCCGAAACCAAGTCAAAACCAGTAAACACCCACCACATGTCAAAATGCAGGTAACAGAAACCACGACAGGGCAAACATGAGTGGTCAGGAACCCCAGATCTATTCCCATAAGTCTTTGTCAATAATAACCTACGTGATTATGCAACATCGTGGTATATACATTGAGTGCCCATTGAGGGATACAGATTAAAAATTTACACAATAATAACACAGAGATGGAGGAGAAACCTTGACACAGACAAGCTTTGCATATTTTAATAGCTTGATGGATTTTTTTAGTCTTTACCTCAACGTTAATTACCAGTATATTTTTAATTCAAATTTATACCTGTTCTTCTTCATCTTTTGCCAAGTGGATGAAATATTTCAGAATGGTTGAAGAAGACTCTTCGTGAATCACTTCCTCGGGAAGGTGAACAGAACTTTCACCGTCTTCATAGGGCACACCTACCAAACCACCGTAGGTCTCAGAAGACGTGCGACCTTTGTTGGGGGAAAATAAGAAATTAAACCTTGTTAAAGGTTGTCTAATGATCTGCCAATGTAAAAACTGATGGTGATGTTAGTTTAGCCAGACTCATAATGGCCTCTACTACTCAATGTTTTAGGAATATTTGTTTCAGTTACTATTACTCATCTAGAACTGTTACACCAACACCCAAGATGTGAGCGAATAGGGGTCCACTGACTGGGGTCTTCCACCTTATAGTTAGAGAGTGGGTCTAATGAACCCCCTGTCATAAACCATTAACCGTTTACATTCTACAAATTAGTGAGTAGATAAAATGGACCAATAAGTAGTCAACCCTTGTAGATATAGAGTCTGACAGGTGTGAATAGAACCACTGTATAGATCAAGATATATTTAGCTCCATCCCACAGCCTAACACAGTTTTAATTATGAAAAAAAACATCAATAGGGAGACCTTAATATATAGTATATAAATACTATATAATATTGTAGTTCAAATAAGAATTATATATATAAATAAGCATTGCCAGTCCTTTATGGCGGCCTGGCTTAACGTGCAGAGTATAGAATACAGTCTGCAGACTTTAATTATATTGTTTAATGTTTCATTTAATTATAAATGAAACATTAAACAATAAGGGCACTAGGACCAGGGTCATTGCTCTGTAGCAGTGCTTAGCAGGGCTGACCAATGTGGATTCATGTAAATTCACACCAGGCTCACAAGTCCCTTCCTGTTAGACCTGTGATGCAGGTTGTCCCTTCATGTTTGCCCATCCCTTTCCTTGTTTACAAATGTCTATATATTGGGGGCGATTGGCAATATAATCCTGAGAGATGCAACATGTTGTTCCATAAAACCCATTTATCAATAGTGCTTACTGGGAGATTGTATTGTATTTTTTAATTGCAACAAAATACATTAAATGAGATTTAACCCCTTAAGGACCAAACTTCTGGAATAAAAGGGAATCATGACATATCACACATGTCATGTGTCCTTAACCCCTTAAGGACACATGACATGTGTGACATGTCATGATTCCCTTTTATTCCAGAAGTTTGGTCCTTAAGGGGTTAAGGGGTTAAACATGATATAAAAAGGAATTTCCCATAATACATGTTACATTCTAGATGTGAATTCTCCAAAGCAATTTAACACTTCGAACAGGGAGTATTAAACCATTGTGTAGGATATGGTTCATTATTTCCGTGTGCAAGAAAAAGGTTCATATATGATAAGTTCTGTCCACCTTTTGGGATGAAACAAGAAGTGTAATGACTGCCATTACAATGGAATTTAAATCTACCCTTGTCATGAACAGGTTAAATGGACCACCGTTGCTCTCACTGTAATCTTATATCAACCATATATCATCATTACTATCTGCACTGGGAACAGCTGTGTAATTATTAATACCAATTCTCTAACTGTTGTATCGAAGTTCTCTTACCCGGAGACTTATAAAGCATGTTATCTAAAGGATGTGAAGAAACCAGGGTCTGTTTACTGCTAATACCCTCATGTCTCGCTAACAGCAAATCATATTGCCTTTGAATAATTTAAATTGCATCCTACATACCACTGTATCTATGTAATAAAAAGGGAGAGATCTGCTTATTGAATGTAGTTTCCCTTTATAAGAAGGCACGCACATAAAATCCATAATACTGGTATGTAATTAATTATTATAATTATACGAAAATTATACTTTGTTAAGAAGAAAAGCCTAAAAACGCATATTCAGTACTAATAAAATATTTCTGGAAGATCAAGTCTGTCCCGCTATTTGCAAATGTTTTATATTATTTAATCCTATATTATATGGAAAAAAGTGGATTGTCCAGGTTAATATAAAATTTTATTTAATAGTTTAATATAGGATTTGGGAGCTCAGGAATGGGCTTGTGAATGATACATCCAGACATATATCACAGGATGTGTCAAAATCCTCCACACTGCACATGAAAAAGGATAAAAATAGATACAAATGTTATCTAAATTTCATTTTTAATGCTCACACCAAGGTTTTAAGGGGTGAACATAATAGTCAGTAAGGGGGCATTCAAAACACACTGTGATTTCAGTGAGCCTTCTTACTGTGATGTGGGCATGCATGAGAGGAGTTAGAGTCTTGAACATACAGAGTATTAACCTATTCACAATCAAGTTCTTTTTCTTTCAAAAGCATTTACAGTGACATTTATTTTGAACATGTTATCAATAGTTAGCACACAAACAGCAATTTTGTAGAGAGTAGAGACATTGAATGTCAGTGTTGCATAGTGTGCAGCACTGCCCCAGGAAGCACCTCTAGCAGCCATCTGAGGAGTGGCCAGTGGAGGTATCCCTAGGCTGTAATGTAAACACCGCATTTTTTCTGAAAACACAGCGTTTACTGCAAAAAGCCACCAGAACACATACAATAAGCTGTAGTTGTTCTGGTGACTATAGTGTCCCTTTCATTTATTTTTTTCAGAACAAGCATTCCACACGCTCTTCATTAGCTGTAATTTGTGTTCAGATCTTAAAACTGCAATTTAAAGAAGAGTATTAATTGAGACTCTGGGTTTGATACGCAATTTGCATATTTCCGTTTTACATATTAAATGTTTTTCTGCAAACTGGCAGTAACAGAGCAGTATTGGAACATCCAGTACCTGGTTTATCTTTATTGAACTTTGACCTCTTCTTGGACGGGATGTATTTGGCATATTGATTTTGGACCCAAGAAACCTTTTCATCAGATGCCATGGAATCCTGTTGTAAGACATAAACGATGTATCAGTCTGTTAGATTGTGTATTCACTTCCATTATTTAGTCCTGGGTTTTAAATAGAACTCAAGTCCTATGTGCTTGTATCATCTGAACTCAAGCGAATTGAACACCTTCCCAAAAAGTTACTGTAAACACTTTGACAGTTATACTGTGCAGGGTCTCCACCAAAGGAATCTGTTGCTTCTTTTCATTTTATATTCTTCACTCACAGCTATGAGAGATATCCTCTGGCAGTAAAAATAACTAATTTTGACATTCTGTTCTTCTTAGGCCCTCACTGAAAGGGAACCAGAGAGTACAGATCATATTGTGAATGTCTCTGATTTAGTAAGGGATGATGTTTTTAGAGAATTGAGGTGAATTTCCAAAGCTATAACCAAGTTGGAGGGCTTGTCACGTAAAACTATCCTTAACGTTTGCAATTTACTTATTAGATGTCCACAAATAAATTTAACATTTCGTGAATAAGACTCGATGGTGATACTCTGGGTGTTTTGGGATATTAGATACATTGTTGTCATTTTATAATTCTCTCCTGCTGTGACATCTTTATTGTAGTTAGCATGATCACCCAAAAGTCCATCACGTATCTGTACTGTTTCTTTAAACAAACAGAGGACTTATGAGAAGGGGATTAAATGTCAGACCTTGGTTTCCTGTTTACCTACCGCCACCACAAACTCTACAATAGAAGCCATATTATATATCTGTTTCTAACTCTTTTCACATACTTCTTGCAAAGGCAATGAATAGTGTGACAAAAGGTTGCTGTTTTGTCACTAGAGCGTCTTTATACTCAAATCAATATTAGCCCAGCTGTGAGTAGAGACACAGAGTACAGAGTACATATGGCTGTAGGGGGTGGACACATACCATTTATTTAGCATAAGAGATGTACATCTAAAAATGGATGAACTGAAGCCCAGTGTGCAGTTGCCAGACTGCAACTCCCATAGTCCCTAGCCAGCAAAAGGAATGTCACCATATACTATTCATTTATTGTTTTTAATAATCGTACAGCCTGCAGTGAATGTCATTTAGACCGATTATAATTTAAAGAGAAACTCCAGGCACCAACACAACTCCCAGCAGGTGCAGAACTCCAGTGACACTGCCTCACAGTATTGGTACAATGATTCAATCACAAGCACAAGCACTGTATCTAAAGGAGCATTTACAGTGATCTGCACCAAATGAAAGTACAGTCCACAAGTTTCACCCACTGAACAGTATGATAGCCTTCACCTAAAGTCAGGGAATCTAGACCACACACACACACACACACACACACCGTCACTCCTCACAATACATACTCAGCCAACCCCCATATGCATAACACATCTAGCCTTCCCATGCACACAGCACACATGCAGGCTCCCACACTCAGTGCATGCAGCATCTCATGCACCACACACACAGCCTACCCAAAATGAGTGCATCTAGTATCTTTGGATAAGCATTATATTAAAAATAATTCTATGTAATCAATCCTCAGAATGCTAAATTGGTCAATGACATTGACGAAACCGTGCATATATTACTATCAAACTCTGCATCTCCTCCGATCGTTTAATAGGGGTATTTTTAAACTCTATCTGATTTATGGCAGGAGACTCGTATATCATTTACAAGGGTAAATGCATCCAGAGGGAGATAGAGCACGTGATGTGTTCAAGCTTGGATGAATTCCCATACAGGTACTGTGTGTTTATCAGATGCACACTTTCTCATTACATAATTATTGCTATAGGCACAAATCTGCAGGAAATATTTACATGCCATCATTTCTTTGTTCATTAAGCTGGACAAATGCAATATGGGAGTTCTGACATTATAATTCCATACAATTGCCAATATGGATACCGCACTCTCCTGAATCCCTGGGTGCAACCGGGCCTGAGGCTGGCCAATCCTCACAATGTGATTTGCAAAAAAGTAATGATGGTCCAGACACTCAAGTTCAATCCAGTGGCCAGATTTATTGGAGCAAAGTAGAAACAACATTTTGCCCCACACCAGAGCCTTTGTATTATATTTTAATTTATATTATAATTCCATACGACACAATGCCCAGTCATGGTCGCAGATTCTCTATTCTGACAGCAGTTTACAAATATGTGCAGGGCCAAAATGAACCATTGTTACATTACACCTGTGAGGTGCATTTTCCTAGATTCTATGGACATCCTTTCCCATGATGCTCAGTAAAAATGTAGTTTAACTTTAATAGGTTAATTCTAGTTTAATACAGGTTTAATAAAATAAGGTGTGCAAAACGCAAACATCTGGCTCTCCATTCACATCCAGCTGGGGGTGCACAAACTTGGTTTACTCCTGATCAGACCCCATTTGGGTAAAGTCTCAGGAGTTTTAAGGGAATTTACAATATTGAATAAAACATTGAAAATCCCCTACAACTTGTATTAATCATTACTAATATTAAAGATTTAGCAAGTTACATTATAATCCAGTTAAGACAAGGCACACATTGCAAATGAAGAGGAGAAACAAATCCTGCGTGTAATGTCTCTTTTTTTTGTACTGCAAATGATGGAGCTAATCGCAGTGATTGACAGGGAGCTAAGATAGAGGCAACAAGTTGCAGAATAAAGAGGAATTGGTTTCTTCATTTAAAGGGACACTCCACTGCCTTAATTTAACCCCTTAAGGACCAAACTTCTGGAATAAAAGGGAATCATGACATGTCACACATGTCATGTGTCCTTAAGGGGTTAAAAAGAAATCCCAACTATATACACGCAAAATGAAAACATACATCAATTTAACTATGCATTAATTTCATAGAGGGTATATATAAATAAAGTTTTTTGTCTGCAGCCTTTACAAGCCCTCCCCTTCTAACTCCGCCCAGTCTTTCTGTGGATGTCCAATCACTAACTTCCTGATGCAGCTTAATGAGAAGTCTTTGCAAGGCAGGTGCTCTGAGCAATTGCTGCCTCTTTTTAGTTCGGCTCCACTGAGCGAACCAAACCAGGAAGTTATAAGACCGGTTATCTGTATGAGAGCCAAGAGGGCGTAACAAGGTTAATTTATAAAAGAGCCAATTTCTAATGAAATCTGAACTTTTTGTGAAATAAAAAAAGAGGGTACACTCTGCATGCATAAAGCATTTCAGCAAGCTAAAGTGCTTGAGGGGTCTGGAATTAATTTTTATTCTTCACGTCACACATACATTTTTGTTAAATACAGGAATAAGTAAAGATAATATTAAAACTCCTGGGAATTGAGAGTTCCTTCTCAATAGCCATCAAAAGACAAGGAAAAAACAATTTTCATTGGTGTGAGTTCTGATATGATCTCTGTGTCAATCTCTTAGATGAAACCTCCAGTTTGTATGCGTTTTATGGGACACAAATTCAACTATAAAATGCATTATGAGTTTAATATAACAGATGTGTTCATCACAGAAGAAGCTAATTAACAAAAAAAACTAACTATGTAATAAATATAATAAAGGTGATGCAATGTTACAGAATCAGGAAAGAACAGCTGTTGATTTAAAAGAACATGCACGCTGCGATGGTTGGAGGGGGATGTAAACAAACTTCAAATAATTCTAAGCTTTTTTTAAATTATGGATCTCAAACACAACACTGCTACCAATATTGCCAGGATATCATTTATCAGCATCTGATCCATTTCTATTTGGCTTATTCACAAAACACTCTTTTTGTTCCAGATCAGCAAAATTCAGTTAAAATAACCAGACTGAAAACAAATTTACAATTGTAATATTACTTAAAGCTAAATGTGTTTGGAATTCGGTTATATCAACGAAATTAGCACATCTGATTTGGTGCCATCTATTGTCTGCTTTAAAGGAATTGATTCTCACTTGCAAGTCCTTTATAAAATAAAATTAATCAAACACCACATTTCAACCGAATTAACTCTGAGCAAAACTGGTATATTACAAATATTTATATTTATCTACAGTATTTAGTAAATGAGTAAAATAATGAATAAATAAAATTATGTAATTTTAATAAATTATATAAAAAAATAGTAATATAATATAGATTGTGACAAACTACCCTTTGCCACTGGCTTTTGGAGAGGCCTGCTTGCCAGCCTCTTGCCATGTGACTATGGCCCCTGGAGTGTATTGCCATTTAAAAAGTCTATTTGGGCTTATTGGATTTTTAAAACACTTTTTCTGCCCCTTTAATTCCATGGGAAAATGTGCCTCTTCCCCTCCCCCTTTTTCCTGTCCTATTGTTCTCCAGCAGGGCGTTGTCCCAGGTACACTGCCAGACCAATTTAAACTGGCTGCTTTGTCCTTCCTCAATCTCTCATCAGCCCTTGCTATTGTTTAACCCCATGGCGATCCAACTGTATTTGTGGGATATGAGCGCTTTTCGGACATATTGAGCGCTCAGATCCAAGCTTTCTGGGGATATGTTGGACATGTAGGTTAAACATTGTATTGTGGGGCTTATGTATTTTTATGTAGTTTTTGTAACAGTTTTCTGACTTAGAGATATTTCCTGTACCTAGAGATAATTGGCTTACCACACCCACTTGAGCCAATTATCTCCAGGATAGAGGAGAAGATAGACCGGCTGCACAGACTAAATCTGTGGAACTGTTTTGGGCATGAAAGTCATGCTTGCAGTCGGTCAAATATGGCTTTCAACTATCTTTCAAACCACTGGGCCAATTCGGATGATTTTTGAATATATTTGTTCACTGATAGTGCTCAAATATAACTTTTATGGAAATTGCATCTATAGTTTTGAAGTTATGAATATTGTGTAAAACTGTATATTTTCTGCCTGTGATAATTAAGTTAGCCCATTGTGTTCAGTAATTGTATCACAGGCAGAGGGGAGGGTTTGTGTGCCTTAGCTGGGAGTGTCTGACTGTACTGTATTAATTGGCTGTTGTAACCCTGTGTCCTGTGTACCACAAGGTCCACGTGGGTGGTAACCTTGTGTGAAAACCTGTATAAAAGAAAATCCTGTGTGCTCATTAAAACAGTTCTACTTGACCCTCAACTCACAGCCTTGACATGTGTTTGGAGGGGACAGCTATAATCACTACAGGGATTGCTATGCTCTGCATATTCCCTTAGCTTCACTGAGCTCTTGTAAGAGCTCTTGTTCCTGATCCTGCTTCGCTCTCTGGGAGAAAGAGAGGTTCCCCCACTGGAACCTGGAGCCTTGTCGTAGGTCCAGGGTGGGTAGAAGACGACAAGACCCCAACACAGCAACGGCGGTTCGTGGGGTCTGCAGTGGGGTCTGCAGTACTTATGGTGTCTATGGTGCTGATGGTCCATGGTGAGTGCTAGGAGAATCCTTTCTATGGTCCAACCCTCAGCTATCCTGGGGCAACCAGATTAGATTTACTGCAACTCTGAAAACGTTTTACTCCAATGTTGTATAGGGAGAAGTTTTTAAATAAAAAAAGGACTGAAGCGAATGGTTTAATTTGCCAAAAGAGGGAAAAGATTTATCTTCATGTTCCAAATAAAGACCAATTTCACTACTTAAAGGGATGCTATAATCACCAGAAAAACTGCAGCGTATTGTATTTGTTCTGGTGAGTGGAATCATTCCTTTCAAGCTTTTTGCAGTAAACACTGTTGTTTTTTTTTTTTTATTCTTTATTTGTAAAGATTTTGTTCGGGGGGGAATACAGAAGGGAAACATTGGGGGGTCAAAGGTAGTGATATCAAGTTTACAAAGCATAAATCATACATAGGTTTTTATGATAGTCATACGTTTCAGACCATTGTTGCTTTCAGGTTGTTGGTGTGTAGGGTAAGAGGTGGGGGTGTCGTCATTTGCGAACCGTTGTTGGTTGTAGTGAGCCTTTGTGGTGTTAGGACAAAACCTCTGTGTGCTTGGTCTTAGTTGGAGTTACCCCTGGTGGTTTGTTGTTTGCATGAGGGCTGGGGTGCCTCCCCAGGTTGTGTGTGTTTTCACAGTGGGCGGTCTTGAAACGAGATGTGAATTGTTAAATAAGGTATGTCTTTAGGGTAGGTCTCCCTTCGGTGTTCTGGTTTTGCCTCATGGTTTGGTGTCATGTGTAGTCGTTTTGTAGTCAGTTAGTGTGTGTATGGTGGGTTTGTGTGTGTCTAATATGTTGGGTCATTCTTGTCTGTTGGTGTTCGTCTATGGGTGTTCAGTGGGGTCCCTGCCATGGTCGGGTCAGTTTGAGTATGTGCATCGTGGGTATGGGGGGTTTTGGGTGTGGGTCCTGAGTGTGGGGGGATAGGAGGGGGTATCAGATGGGGGTCAGGTATTGAGAGAGGTAGTGTGTGGGGGGGTTCCACTGGGCGGTCAAAATGGGTGAGTTTTTTGTTGGCTGTCTCTATGTTTTGCACTTCATTCAGGAAGCTGCGAAGTTGTAGGTAGCGGAACTGATCGAAGGTGTTTAGTGGTACTTTACGTGGGAGTTCTAGGAACGGTATTACTTTCTGGTTGTGGAAGAAGTTCATGTATCTTATCAGTCCGTTATCCTCGTATTGTGAGAAATCTTGGGGTGACATGCCGGGGGGGAAGCGTTAGTAAACACAGTTTTTTCATAGAAAATGCAGTGTTTACATTACAGCCTACTGATAACTCCACTGGACACTCCTCAAATGGCTGCTAGAGATGCTTCCTGGGACAGTGCTGCACAGTGAGCAGCACTGCCATTCAGTGTCTCCACCCTCTGCATGTAGACACTGAACTTTCCTCATAGAGATACATTGATTCAATTCATCTCTGAAGAGATGCTGATTGGCCAGGGCTGTGTTTGACTTGTGCTGTCTCTGCCCCTGATCTGCCTGCTTGACATTCTCAGCCAATCCTATGTGAAAGCATTGTGATTGGCTTTGATTAACACTTCTGATGTCAGCCAAGCAGGCAGATGAGGGGCAGATCTAGCAGCAGACTGCAATAAAGATAAGATTTTACTATATTTAGGGGGCAAGAGGGGACCAGGGGGGCTAGATGGTGTTTTTAACACTACAGGGTCAGGAACACAGGTTTCCTTTAATATCGATGTGAATATATTTGCAAGAATATTGGCCAATCGCTTGTGTCACCTTCTACCATCTGTAGTGCATCCAGACAAAGTAGGTGTCATTCTAAAAGAAGCACCAGATAAGATATGAAGGAACTTGAATTTAACTAATTGGGTTCTAGAACCTTGGTACTCATCCCAAACCTTCTTTCCTTCTCCACCTTTTTCCACCCTAAATGATTTGTTTATTTTCAGTTCTCTCCTTCTTCTTTTCCAGAAATGTTCTGCTATCGGGTTGTGACAGAAGCCCGTATGTCCACGGTTCTTGTAGGGGCTTGGAGGCCAGCCTCCTCCACACAGACTATGAACCCCGTCCCAGGATACTCTGGGCTGGACCCGAGGATGGCCATGACCATCCTTTAAAATACTGTCGCTTCAGCTGAGAAACTCCAATCCGGGCACTTTTTGGACAGAGATGACAGTACCCAGAGATGTATATTTTGTGGGGATGTTGTGTTGGAGAATAAAGTTTTGGGGGACATATTCCCAGACACCCGGTCTTGAAAGAACCCAGCAGGGAAGAAATATCATTAACTATGTACTGATCATAGTAACTGATTTTATTAACCCTTAACAGGCCAGGTAGAGTGGCACCAGGGAGGGGATTTCTTCAATTTACATTGTTTTGTATGGATCACCTACAGGAAGGAGAATCCACATTTGCCCTGTATAAGTAGATGTGTCCAAATGAAGGGTTCATTGTATCCCCTACAATAAGTCTCGACTAATTTGTGAGGAAAAGGGCTATGATCACTATTACTCTAATGGCAAGAGGGTTTCAAGAGAAAGAGCATTGTCTCTAGCGGAAAAGGTTCCCAGAGACTACGATGCGAGTTTAACTTTAGTGACGGGGTCTGGAGTGCTCCTCTCCTGGGGCCATGAAGAAGCTATACTGACAGAGATACTCAGCCCGAGTACATGAGCTCTATTACAAGGTTAATATACTAAACAGAACATTCTAAGTGATTTTAGACTTTTGGGCCAGTGTATCACAAGCAGAAGATGATTCCATTTAACATGACTTTTGCAATTTAGTTTTCAATTCACTACAATACAGCATTATGTACTAGAGAGAGAATTCAAAGTGAATTTCACACTTTAGGCCAACGTAGCAATAATGGAATTATACCCGACTTACAGGGTTATTCAACAAAGTGAGAATTCCAAGAGAATTCAAAGTACATTTCATATTTAAAGTCACAGCAGCCACCTGGAAACTTAACTGAATTGGGAGAATTTTCCCATTTCAGATATTTTGAAGTTAAATTTGAAATGCACTTTAAATTCTCACTTTAGTAAATAACCTGTGAGTTAGGGAATTTTTTTCGCAGTTGTTTGGTCTCCATTGGCCTTGATAATTCACTAAGTGAGTAGCCCTGTATGTGTCATTCACAAAACCTAAAATTGGGGATTCTTCAATTCTCCATGGTCACAGCTTAGGCTATCGTAGGCTCAAGTTTGCTTAATTCCGATTGTGAAATCCAGAAGAATGTCAGGATATTGCTGTACAATGGAAGGACACATTATATTTGCTGATCTGTATTGACAGCATTCACACTTCAATTAACTCTGTTTGTAATATGGTATGAAAGAACTCTGCTGCCATCTGCTGGTACTGGTAACAAAATGCAGACATAGTTACATAGCTGAAAAGAAACTTGTGTCCATCATTGCTTTCCAACAGGAAACCTGTAGGGTTATTCAGTAAAGCAGGGGTTCCCAATTAATTTTTCCTGGGGAACCCTTTGACATTGTGTATCAACATAGTGGAACCCTCCATAAAAATGTATGTCATAGCACAGAACTTTTATTTAGAAGAGTGTAATGTTTTTTGTCAAATTTTGTTTTTTTGTCATTTATACACAAATATTTACGGATAGTAAACAGAATTTAGTACTTAGGAGCAGGTGTGTAGAGTTGGTGTTTGTATATAATTTTAGCATTTTAATACAGGAGTGAATGTAATGTTTGCATTCGGGTGTGTGTTTGAATGTAGTTTTGGATTTTGAATGTGGATGTACGTTTGTGTGTAGTATTGGTGTTTGTATGTTTGTAAATCATTTTGGAGTTAGAGTTCAGGGGTGTCTTTGTATGTCATGTTTGTGTTTGCAGTGATGTGTGTTGTGTTGGTGTTTGATTGTTGGGATGTCTGCAAATGCACTGCCACATACATACTTACACAGATATACACACACACACACACACAGACACAAATACAAACACCTTGACCCACAGATACACACTTGCACATACAAACACTGATAGACACACTGACAGATACACGGGTACACAGATACACAACACTGGCACATACACACAGCAGTGGCATCTTCAGGTTTCATATTTACGTGGGCACATGTGGGGCCAGGGACAAAAGTAGGGGGGCAGTTCTAAAACATGTGCGTGTGTGTGTGTGTGTGTGTGTGTGTATATGTATATATATATATGTGTGTGTATATATATATATATATATATATATATATATATATATATACACACACACATACACACAGGGCTTGACAAATCCCAGGCGCCAGGTCACCATGGCGACTAGAAATTTAGCCCTGGAGCCTGGGATTTTTCTTTGCTAAGTCATGCATGAAACATTGAAGCCGGCCACAGCAGGGAGCAAGGAGGCGCGCGAGGAAGTAGTAACCTTCCCTCGCGTGCTGCTTATTGACATGATGTCACTCCAGCCCCAGCATCACTGCAGAGAGCTTGCATAGGGGGGTGATCTTCCAAGCAGGGGCAGAGCTTTTGTGCCGAGGGAGCTGCTGCACAGTGGCGGACCCAACATAGAGAGGGCCCTGGTGCAAAAATAGTGTTGGGCCCCAAAAGACACATGCCCATCAGGTGACCCTAATTTCACGGCCCACTCAATGGGCACCAGCACTGCTTGTAGTTCCACTGTTGCGCCTTCCTTATTACAGGCAAGACACCTTTTCACGTACAGGGCTGGCCTTAGGGGTGTGCGAGCTGTGCGGCCGCACAGGGCGCCATGGACCAGGGGGGCGCCCTACGGCTGACACAGCTCACACATGGCCGGCAAGAATTTTTAAAAAATTGTGGCGGGGGCAGAGCTTACCGTGCAGTGGGGGTGGTGCTTCCCGTGCGACAGAGGCAAAGCTAAAAGCGCCAGATAACTGCTACAGGGGAAGCAGGAAGGAGTTCCTGCTTCCCCCAACAACCAGAATCCAGGAGCTGCACTGCCTCCACAATGAACTCCGCAGGTAACTGTGTGATTGTCAGTGTGAGTGTGACTGTCTGCCTGTGTGTGTGTGTATGACTGCCTGTGTGTGTGTGTGTGTGTGTGTCTGTGTGTATGACTGTCTGTCTGTGTGTGTGTCTGTGTGCATGACTGTCTGCCTGTGACTCTGTGTGTGTGTGTATGACTGCCTGTGTGTGTATATGTTTGTATGACTGCCTGTGTGTGTGTGTGTGTGTCTGTGTGTATGACTGTCTGCCTGTGTGTGTGTGTCTGTGTGTATGACCCTCCCACACACACACACACACACACACACACAGACTGAACCCCCATTACCCCACACAGACTCACCTATACACACACACACACACACTGACCCATACACACACAGACTGACCCCCCCACACAGAGACTGATTCCAACACACACAGACTGACCCCCCCTACACACACACAGTGCAATCAATAACTGAAACAGCCCAAAATAATAACAATATACATACAATGTACTGTGTCTCCCTCCACTGTAATGTAACCTGTAACGTGCTAAGAACACCTGTTAATGCTATATAAATAAAATTGCCATGCACCGAATACCTACTGCACTTCCAGGGGATTGCCATCATGCATAGATGAAAATAGATTTAAAAATGTCGGAGGAACTGGGACCATGCATGGAGTGCTACAGCAGCGCTCTGTACATGGTCTCAGCATGGCAACCCTCTGCTGGTCCTGCCCCTTTATAGACAGACATGCCCATCTTGATGACCGGACCGACCTTGTTGAAGGGCAGGTTTGCCAGCATGCCCCATTCATGCCTGCTCTCTTCTCTATCCACCTCTGTCCTGAAAGGTGGGCAGGGAATGTTTGTTGGCAGACATGCTGCATTTGCCCCTTGGACTGCTACTCACTGTTGGGTGCTGGCTCACAGCACATAACTAAATGTAATATGTATTTATATTAGTTAACTGTTACTGTATTCCAGTAAATCTGCCTAACGCATTTTATATAAAATTAAGAAAGGTAGCAAAGTGTGATGTGAAAATGTGCTGGTTTGGCATTAATTCGGCAGTTTGTATCCAGCCCTCCACTGTCTCCCTCTACCGTGATGTAAGCTGTAGAATCCTAAATACAACATCTAGTGCTATATAAATAAAATATACATAGAAAGTATAACTACTGTAATGTAACCCGTAAAGTGCTACAGCACATAAATAAAAAGGGCTTTGTACTAGCATTAGTTCTATGTAAAACATAAATGCATTGTATCCACATGTA